TTGTAATTATTTTTGAGGTCTTTTCCTACTCCTGAAGTTTCTGGTGACCGCAATTTTGAGCCCTTTGGGGATGTTAATTTAGTAAATGGGGGTGCTTAAGATTCAACTTCTTCAGTCTTGTTTTTAGCTTCCAAATTTTATTTTTGTCTTAAGAGTTTATACTTTTAAAATAATCTCTTTACTGTTGTTTTTCAGGAGGGAGAATTTGTGTTGAATTGGTTTGTTCTGACCAGAAATATATTTTCATGGAGGTTTAACTCAAGTCATTTACTTGGAATTTGAAACCTGTTACATAAGAGGAATGTTGTACTGCTATAGCTAAATGTGTTAATTTTTCTAATTTGAGATTATGGACAGGAATTAATGATGTCTAGTAAAATCTTCAGTTTTTGATGGAATGAGATGATTTCAGTTTAACTCCAAAGTAAATTTGGTAAATAATTGGTTTGCCTTAATCCTAGCATAATATTACTTTGAAAATGGGATGTGCAGTTAAGATACATGGATACAATGAACATTACAGAATTTAAATATTAAAGCTGACTTTTATATACACTCATTTTTTATATATATATATTTATTTTATTTTTTTGAGGCACACTTTTGCTCTTGTTGCCCAGGCTGGGGTGCAGTGGTGCGATCTTGGCTTCCCATAACCTCCACCTCCCAGGTTCAAGTGATTCTCCTGCCTCAGCCTCCCAAGTAGCTGGGATTACAGGCGTGCGCCACCACGCCTGGCTAATTTTGTATTTTTAGTAAAGATAGCGTTTTGTCACGTCGGCCAGGCTGGCTTTTGACCCTGACCTCAGGTGATCCCCCCGGCTAGGCCTCCCAAGTGCTGGGATTATAGGCATGATCCACCACTCCCGGCCATATTTAAATAGAACTCTTAAGCTTTCTTTTAATTGAAATTTTATTTTAGAGCCTTTAAAAAATTCTAACTAGAATGTTAACTGTACTCATTAGTTCCCTAATTCTTAAAGAATTTTAGCAGATAAGGAATTTGTGATATACATCTAATGATAGTAATAATTTTAAAAGTTAGTACATTTTAGAGGAAAAAAGTATCAATTCCATTTTCCTGTTGCTTTGGGGAGTATATGTGTATCAGCTGTCATAGTAAAATTATCAACATACTTATGTCTAGCTTTATAGAACTGACAGACTTCTCTATATGACTCACTGATGTGGGGAGGAGATGTACAGGGTCCGTCCTGGATAATGCCTCTAAATATATATGTACAGATGGTCCCTGACCTACTGATACGATTTGGCTCTGTGTCCCTACCCAAATCGCACCTCGAATTGTAATAATCCCCACAGGTCAAGGACAGGACCAAGTAGAGGTAATTGAATGATGGGGGTGATTTCCCAAATGCTGTTCTCATGATAGTGAGTCTCATGAGATCTGATGGTTTAAGTGTCTGGCATTTCCCCTGCTTGCACTCATTCTCTCTCCTGCGCCCCTGTGAAGAGGTACCTTCTGCCATGATTGTAAGTTTCTTGAGGCCTCTCCAGCCATGCGGAACTTTGAGTCAATTAAACCTCTTTTCTTTATAAACTATCCAGTCTTGGCTATTTCCTCATAGCAGCATGAGAACCGACTAATACAGTAAATTGGTACCAGAAAGCGGACTGATGCTGTAAAGATACCTGAAAATGTGGAAGTGACTTTGGAACTGGGTAACAACAGGCAGAGGTTGGAACAGTTTGGAGGGCTCACAAGAAGACAGGAAAATATGGGAAAGTTGAGAACTTCTGGAGACTTGTTGAATGGCTTTGACCCAAATGCTGATAATGATATGGACAACGAACTCCAGGTTGAGGTAGTCTCAGATGGAGATGAGGAACTTGTTGGGAACTGGAGTAAAGATCAGTCTTGCTGTGCTTTAGCAGAGAGACTGGTGGCTTTTTTCCTTTGCCCTAGAGATCTGTGGAACTCTGTACTTGAGAGAGATGATTTAGAGTATCTGGCAGAAGAAATTTCTAAGCAGCAAGGCATTTAGGAAGTGACGGAGCATAAAAGGAAAATTTGCAGCCCGATGATGCAGTAGAAAAGAAAAACCCATTTTCTGAGGAGAAATTCAAGCTGGCCACCAAATGCTAATCACCAAGACAAGGGGGAAAACGCCTCCAAGGCATATCAGAGACCTTCATGGCAGCCCCTCTCATCATAGGACTGGAGGTCTAGGAGGGAAAAATGGTTTCCTGGGCTGGGTCCAGGGCCTCCCTTGCTGCGTGCAGCCTTGGGACTTGGTGCCCTGTGTCCCAGCTGCTCCAGTCTTGGCTAAAAGGGACCAAGGTATAGCTGAGGCTGTTGTTTCATAGGGTGCAAGCCCCAAGCCTTGGCAGCTTCCACGTGGTGTTGGGTCTGCGGGTGTGCAGAAGACAAGAATTGAGGTTTGGGAAACTGCCTAGATTTCCAAAGACATGTGGAAATGCCTGGATGTCCAGGTAGAAGTTTGCTGCAGGGACAAAGACTTCATGGTTCAAGAACCTCTGCTAGGACTGTGTGGAAGGGAAATGTGGGGTTGGATCCCCCACACCGAGTCCCCACTGGGGCACTATCTAGTAGAGCTATGAGAAGAAGGTCACCATCCCCCAGACCCGATGATGGTAGATCCACTGACAGCTTGCACCATGCACTTGGAAAAGCTGCAGACATTCAACGCCAGCCCAAGGTGGGGTGTGTAGCATACAAAACCATAGGGGCAGAGCATTTTAAGGCTATGGGAGCTCACCTCTTACGTTTGCATGATCTGGATGTGAGACATGGAGTCAAAGGAGATCATTTTGGAACTTGACTGCCCCTATTAGATTTCGGACTTGCATGGGGCCTGTAGCCCCTTTGTTTTAGCCAATTTCTCCCATTTGGGATGGGTGTTTATAGCCAGTACCTGTCCCCCCATTGTATCTAGGAAGTAACTAACTTGCTTTTGATTTTACAGGCTCCTAGGTGGAAGAGACTTGGCTTGTCTCAGATGAGACTTTGGACTTGGACTTTTGGGTTAATGCTGGAATGAGTTAAGACTTTGGGGGACTGTTAAAAGGGCATGATTCTGAAAGGGGCCGGGGCAGAATGATATGGTTTGGCTCTGTGTCCCCTCCCAAATCTCACCTTGAATTCTAATAATCCCCATGTGTTAAGGGCGGACCCAGGTGGAGGTAATTGAATGATGGAGGTGGTTTCCCCCATGCTGTTCTTGTAGTAGTGAGTTTCATGAGATCTGATGGTTTCTTAAGTGTCTGACATTTTCCCTGCTTGCATGCATTCTCTTCTGAGGCCCTGTGAAGAGGGGCCTTCTGCCATGATTGTAAGTTTCCTGGGGCCTCCCCAGCCATGTGGAACCTGTGAGTCAGTTAAACCTCTTTTCTATAGAAATTACCCAGTCTCGGGTATTTCTTCATAGCAGTGTGAGAATGGACTAACAACTTAGATTTTTGACTTGAGTGGGTTTTTCATGGTATTTAAATGGATTTCTGACTTAAGATATTTTAGATTTACAGTGGGCTTATTGGGACATAACCTCTTAGTAAATTAAGAACTGTCTGTGTATATATGTACACACACATGCAAACAGTTGAGGCTCATTATTTGTGGATTCCATATTTGCGAATGTACCTACTCACTGAAATTTATTTGTAAGCCCAGATCAGTAGTACTTGTTGTACAGGTCAGTCACAAACATGCACTGAGTAGCAGAAACATTTGAGTGTCCTGATACAACACATTCTTAGCTGAGATTGAACAAGGGAATGCTTGCCTTCTTTTTTTCAGCACTCATACTGTAAGCAAGTATCTTTTTTGCAATCTGTTTATTGCCATGGGTTTTGCATTTTTGTGCTTTTGTTGGTCATTTTGCCAATTAAACCAGCCCCCAAGCCTAATGCTAAAGTGTTCTTTAGTGTTGGTAAGTACGAGAAGGTTATAATGTGCTTTACAGAGAAAGCGCATGTTACATACGCTGTTGGCTGTGAGTTCAGTGTTAATGAGTTAGCAATCTGTATTAAATAAGGTGTCTTTAATAATGGAAACACACGTAAAATGAGTTTATGTATTTATTGGTTTATGAAAACCTTGTGATTACAGGAACTTAACCCTGTATTTCCCCTAGGAGCAATGGTTGAGTTATTTGCTAATTCAGTTTTCACAGTGACTTTATAGAACATTACTACCGTAGATAGCAAGAATTGATTGTACCTATATGAATGAATGGGTTATAACATGTCTGATTCTCTCATTGAGTAAAATGAAATTCTTAACATACTCATTGATCATTTTAAAAACGTGGTAAGTTTTGTGAGTTGTATAATATAAGAAGTTATTTTGAAGTGAAACTATATTTGGGGTGCAGTTAAATGTATTGATTAATGCTCATGTGTCAAAGTTTGTAGTTTATCATCGTAGGTTAAAAAAAACAAATTTATTAACTTTGTGTTTTTTTTGAGATGGAGTCTGACTGTCGCCCAGGCTGGAGTGCAGTGGCGTGTCAGCTCACTGCAACCTCCGCCTCCTGGGTTCAAGTGATTCTCCTGCCTCAGCCTCCCAAGTAGCTGGAACTATAGGTGTGCGCCACCATGCCCGCCTAATTTTTGTATTTTTAGTAGAAACAAGGTTTCATCATGTTGGCCAGGCTGGTCTCAAACTCCTGAGCTCAGGTAATCCATCCACCTTAGCTTCCCAAAATGGTGGGATTATAGGTGTAAGCCACCGCGCCTGGCGATTTAACCATTTTTAAGTGTATCATTCAGCAGTGTTAAGTACATTCACATTGTGCAACCTCTGTGGTTTTACTTAATAGAATTACAGATTTAAGTAGTAGCTTGTTACTGAATTTAATGAAAGTATTTGGAATTATTAATTGTCCTTTAACTTATATAAGATTTGTAATGCAGTTTAGATTATGCATTTTTGATAATTGCATAATAGGGTGTATTATTTAATAAATTATATATTTGAGCTTGCTTTGTACTCAACGTCCTCCCTCCTCCTTTTTTAGTGCTTTTTTAGGACCAAAGGATATATTTCCTTACTCAGAAAATAAGGAAAAATATGGCAAACCAAATAAAAGAAAAGGTTTTAATGAAGGTTTATGGGAGATAGATAACAATCCAAAAGTGAAATTTTCAAGTCAACAGGTAAGTCATTACATAAAATTTGGTATTACTTATTTAATCCTGGGGAATAATCACTATCCTGGCTGTAGGAAAATAAATACTAAAAGCCTTGTGAATTTCATATTAGCTTGTTGTGTTCTTATTTGTGAGGTTGAACCTTGGACATTTTATATCAAAACGAATTGACGAAATCATTATTTTGTGTAAACAGATCTCAAGAAACTGGGAATTATTCAGTTATTTAACTCCTCCTGATTGAGGGTTTAATACATCATTGACTTTAAAGCTGTATGTACTATTCTTCTAAATTTAGGTTTTGCAACTTACATGATGTGTGCTTTAATTTTCTTATTCTCTTTAATTATTATTATTATTATTATTTTTTTGAGATGGAGTTTCGCTCTTGTCACCGAGGCTGGAGTGCAATGGTGCAGTCTTGGCTCTCTGCAACTTATGCCTTCCGGGTTCAAGTGATTCTCCTGCCTCAGCCTCCCGAGTAGCTGGGTTACAGGTGCCCGCCACCACACCTGGCTAACTTTTTGTATTTTTAGTAGAGCCAGGATTTTGTCATGTTGGCCAGACTGGCCTCAAACTCCTGACTTCAGGTGATCCACCCACCTCAGCCTCCCAAAGTGCTGGGATTACAGACGTGAACCACTGCACCCAGCCTTTAATTTCTAAATCCATAGAATTGTATTCAAATATGAACCTCATGAGTTAAATTAATATGTGACAAATATAACACTGTGCAAATTATATTTATTGGTGTCAGCAGCCACCTTATACTTTCTTTTCTGTGTTTTTTCCCATGGGTCCAGAGCTTTTATTAATTTACATGTGATACTAAATTTTCATGGAGTGGTTTGCCTTTATCCAATTTGTTTCATTTTTATCATACTACAGAAAACACCTGTTCTCTTATTTTCCTTTGTGTTGGTATTGATGTGATTTAGAGAAAAAAAATTTTTTTTTTTTTGAGACGGAGTCTCGCTCTGTCACCAAGGCTGGAGTGTAGTGGCGCCATCTCAGCTCACTGCAAGCTCCGCCTCCTGGGTTCACACCATTCTCCTGCCTCAACCTCCTGAGTAGCTGGGACTACAGGTGCCTGCCACCACGTCTGGCTAATTTTTTGTATTTTTAGTAGAGACAGGGTTTCATCGTGTTAGCCAGGATGGTCTCGATCTCCTGACCTTGTGATCCGCCCGCCTCAGCCTCCCAAAGTGCTGGGATTACAGACCTGAGCCACCACGCCCAGCCTAATTTTTTGTATTTTTAGTAGAGACGGGGTTTCACTGTGTTAGCCAGGATGGTCTCGATCTCCTGACCTTGTGATCTGCCTGCCTCGGCTTCCCAAAATGCTGGGGTTATAGGTTTAGGAAAATGTTTTGTATTGTCGATTGCACTCTTCAGTTGTTGTACATATTCCCAAATGAATGTCTCAGAGCTCTTACGATTTAAAGTAAACAGATGGCTTTATAATAAGATCAGAGCGCTATGAGAGGAGGTCTTTATGAAGATAATTGGGACAGTTTCTCATTCATCAATAAATGTCCTCTTTTTAAGACCTGAGGTCCAAAAATTGGGAAGAGCATGAGTAAACCTAAAGAAGGGAGGTAGCAACAAAGTGGAAATTCTACAGCTTTTTAGCCTTTTTTATTTTATTTTTATTTATTTATTTTTGAGACAGTCTTACTCTGTCACCCAGGCTGGAGTGCAGTGGCGCAGTCTCGGCTCACTGAAGCCTCCGCACCACCCCCCCACCCCGGGTTCAAGCTATTCTCTTGCTTCAGCCTCCTGAGTAACTGGGATTACATGCGCCTGCCACCATGCCTGGCTAATTTTTGTATTTTTAGTAGAGACGGGGTTTCACCATCTTGGCCAGGCAAGTCTTGAACTCCTGACCTTGTGATCCACCCGCCTCGACCTCCCAAAGTGCTGGGATTACAGGCATGAGCCACCATGCCCGGCCTAGCTTTTTACTTTTTTTTTTTTTTGAGATGGAGTCTTGCTCTGTCGCCCAGGCTGGAGTGCAGTGGCCAGATCTCAGCTCACTGCAAGCTCTGCCTCCCGGTTTACACCATTCTCCTGCCTCAGCCTCCCGAGTAGCTGGGACTACAGGTGCTCGCCACCTCGCCTGGCTAGTTTTTTGTTATTTTTTAGTAGAGACGGGGTTTCACCATGTTAGCCAGGATGGTCTCGATCTCCTGACCTCGTGATCCACCCGTCTCGGCCTCCCAAAGTGCTGGGGTTACAGGCTTGAGCCACTGCGCCTGGCCCGCTTTTTACTCTTAAACCTGTAAATTTTATTTCTTCACATGTGCCATGCTTTTTCTTAGAGAACTTTTTAGATACTGTTCTATCTGGAACATATAAATCTTTCATTGATGCTCCAAGGCCACATTAAATGATCATAAGTGACTTTATTACCTCCGAGTACTTACTTGTTAATGGATTCATCAAACCATATCATAACTGTTTCTGTACTTGTCTGTACCTGCTACAGAGTTATGTTGCCTCTGTGAACAAAGGTTAATGTCCTGTGTGCCCAGCATGTGCATGTGTGAGAAGAATAGCTAATCACTAAATATTTGTTGAATGGCTACGTGGTTTCTCATCATTATTGCCTTGACTGTGTAGTGGGAAGACATCTGTCTAACAGACGGAATTGATTGTTTTCTGAAAATTAATGTCTTGTAATTTTCTTTTCTTTTTTATTTTTTTTCTGGAGACAGAGTCTTGCTCTGTCACCCAGGTTGGAATGCAGTGGTGCAATCTTGATCTTGGCTCGCTGCAACTTCTGCCTCCTGGGTTTAAGCTATACTTGTGCCTCAACTTCCTGAGTAGCTGGGATTACAGGCGCATCACACCGTGCCTGGCTAATTTTTGTATTTTTGGTAGAGATGGGGTTTCACCATATTGGCCAGGCTAGTCTTGAACTCCTGACCTCAAGCAATCCGCCTGCCTCAGCCTCCCAAAGTACTGGGATTACAGATGTGAGCCACAGTGCCTGACTACATTTTGTAATTTCTCTTGGATCATTTGTCCTGTGATTGCACCTTTATGGTCTTTTTCATCCTCCAAATTGCCAAGCCTTGTCAGCATATAGTCTTGGAATTTTTTTATTTTTTGAGACTGTGTTGCAGAGGCTGGGGTACAGTGGTGCAATCATGATTCACAACAGTCTTGACCTCCTGGGCTCAGGCTGAGGAGGGAGGATGCCTTGAGCCCAGAAATTGAGGCTTCAGTGAACCACGATTGCACCACTGCCTCCAGCCTGGGTGATAGAGTGAGACCCTATCTCTAAAAAAAAATAAAAATAAAAATAAAGAATTGCGTATATTATTGGGGTAAAAACTTATTTTGCAAAATTAATAGAGTTGATTGCTCACAGGCAGCAACTAAACAATCAAATGCATCATCTGATGTTGAAGTTGAAGAAAAGGAAACTAGTGTTTCAAAGGAAGATACCGACCATGAAGAAAAAACCAGCAATGAGGTATGTTCTGTTTCTCCTAACATTTTAAACCCGTTTTGTTTCAAGGAACAAATAATGAAATAAGTTGGCCATGATTATTAGTAAGTAATTTTTAAAGTACTTGAAAAGTGAATTAGAAAATATTTAAGGCTTATTTCCTTGTGTAAGTATTAAATACACTATTGCTAAACAAGTTGTGCATCTTTAAGATGCATACATGTTATTTGAAGTTATTTTTATGCGTAAAACATGAAGTACAACTATAGGGTGTGGTAGTGTTAAGAATATTTTTTAAAGGGAAGTATATTGGGATGGATTTACTGGAAAGAGCATTAGACTAAATTTTTAAAAACCTAGATTGATGTCCAACTGTATATGATCTGTGTATAAAGATTACTCATTTAGCCCTTCTAGGCCTCATGAAGTGGTTGGAGACGATCTTCAAAGTCCCAGCCACCCTTTAAAATTCACAATCCTAAAATTCAGAATTCTAGTGTAGAAAAAGTAGTTTTATAAATGTAAATAGACAAACTTCCTGGTGTACTAGCAAGCATGACTTTTATATTTGATCTGACAGTGGAAATGCATTTTTCTCACTTTATTAATGTTGAGACATAATGTTGATAATTTCAGAACTCTACAGAGCAAAACAAATTTCCCCAGTGCTTTTAGTTAAACATGCTTGTGACTTTTAGTTTAAGAAGGTTTCTTTCATTCCTGGAATGATTTATTCAGTATTCAGTTTTCTTTTTTCTTTTTTAGGATGTGACTAAAGCAGTTGACATAACTACTCCAAAAGCTGCCAGAAGAGGGAGAAAGAGAAAGGTAATTTCACGGACTTACCAATCACAGGGATCTGAAAAGAATTTTTATTTCAGTTGAGTTGAGGGAGAGTAGATATAATGAAACTTTAAATTTCAGCTTTTATTCTAAACCCTTTAATTTTTTATGGGTTATGTTTTACTTGGCAAAACTATCTGTGTTTCTTTCTTAGTGATGTAGCACCTTTAAAATAACTTGAGTGGTAAAGGAAATGAAATGCACCAGTTTTCATTCATTTTAATGACTGCTTCAGTTTCTCTAAAATGGCTAGAAATACATACTCGAAGGTTGTGGAGGATGAAATGATTTAACATATGTAAAATGTTTATGCTAAATCCTGGTACCTAAACACTAGTAAGTGCTATATAAGTGTTGTCCATTATGTTTTTGTTATTGTTACTTCACAACATTGTTGTGAGAAATGAGTGTGAGTGACAGTGCAAGGTTAGGTACATAGTAGGCTTTTAATTAATATGAAATTTTCCTTCGATATACGAAGTTTTGTTCACACCCTTTTCTGACCTATTTATGTCTCAAATTATTATTATATACCAAAGATACAAAGAAAACCAAGAGTTCAGTATCTCATGAGGAGGTAAACTGTGAAAATAAATAATTATAGTGGCTTATTTGCTATGTAGTATGGGTTGGAGGTGGTGTGATAACAGGATTTTAAAATACAGGCAGAATTTTGTCAGGCAGATGAAGGAGCAGCGAAGGACACATGAAGCAATTTGAATAGCATATACAGACACATAGCAGAAATTCCGTTTCAAGCATCTTGAGTATTGCATTTCAGTATTAACACACCATAAAGTTTGAGGGAATAGGTACCAAAAAAACCTGACGTTGTCCTAAAGACCTTGGAACTTACAGAAGTGATGGGAAATGATTGAATTACTTCAAATTTTAGATACCTCCTTTAAAAAAATTTTTAAGAGATGGGGTCTCGCTCTAATACATAGGCTAGAGTAGTGCACTGGTGCAATCGCACCTCACTGCAGCCTCAAACTTTTGGGCTCAAGGGATTTTCCCATCTTACCCTCTCTAATAGTGGGGACTACCAGAAGTGTGCCACCGCACCCGGCCTTTTTTTTTTTTTTTCCTGAGACGGAGCTCGCTCTGTTGTCCAGGCTGGAGTGAAGTGGAGCAATCTTGGCTCACTGCAACCTCCACCTACCGAGTTCAAACAGTTTTCCTGCCTGGGCCTCCCAAACTGGGATTACAGGCACACACCACCATGCCTGGCTAATTTTTGTATTTTTTGGTGGTTTGTTTTGTTTTGTTTTGAGATGGATTCTCACACTGTTGCACCAGCTGGAGTGCGGTGGCACCATCTCGGCTCACTGCAGCCTTCGCCTCCCAGGTTCACGTGATTCTCCTTCCTCAGCCTCCCGATTAGCTGGGATTACGGGTGCACACCACCATGCCCGCCTAATTTTTTTGTATTTTTAGTAGAAATGGGGTTTTACTATGTTGGCCAGGCTGGTCTTGAACTCCTGGCCTCAAGTGATCCACCCGCCTTGGCCTCCCAAAGTGCTGGCGTGAGCCACCGCGCCTGGCTGATTTTTGTGTTTTTAGTAGAGACAGGGTTTCACCATGTTGGCCAGGCTTGTCTTGAACTCCTGACCTCAGGTGATCCGGCCATCTCAGCCTTCTGAAGCGCTGGGATTACGGCACCGGGCCTGGCCATTTTTTCTTTTTTTTTTTAAATAGAGATGGGGTTTTGCTATGTTGCCTAGGCTTATCTCAAACTCCCAGCCTCCGGTAATCCTCCCAAAGCACTGGGATTACAGACGTGAGCCTCTGTGCCCAACCTGATGCCTCATTTTTTTCTTTTTTTTAATATAAATTTGGGTGTTTTTTTTTTTGGATACAGAGTCTCATTCTGTCACCCAGACTGGAGTGCAGTGGCGTGATCTCAGCTCACTGCAACCTCCACCTCCTGGGTTCAAGCGATTCTCCTACCTCAGCCTCCTGAATAGCTGGGATTACAGACGTGCACCACCACGCCTGGCTAATTTTTGTATTTTTAGTAGAGATGGGGTTTCACCATAGTGGCCAGGCTGGTCTCAAACTCCTGGCCTCAAGTGATCCGCTCACCTCTGTCTCCCAAAGTGCTAGGATTACAGGTATCTGCCACCATACCCAGCTAATTTTTTGTATATTTAGTAGGGACGGGGTTTCACTATGTTGGCCAGGCTGGTCTTGAACTCCTGACCTTGTGATCCACCTGCCTTGGCCTCCCAAAGAATGCATCATTTTTTTAAAGCAGTGTGAATGATGGGGATTGGATTGGGGCATTGAAACCAGTTCACTGTAAAATTCTTTCAGAATTTTAGTACTAACTTGCCTTGGCATGGATTTGAGTAGTCAATAAAGAAGACAAGGTCTTTGTTTCCATTGAACTTAATTTTTTTTTTTTTTTTTGAGACAAAAAATAAATATTTAAAATAAGAGGGTCTAAATGGGGAGTTAGTGAGTTGGCAGCTGACTAGGCTACAAACGGCCTTTCTAAGGAGTTGGCATGAGACTGGAAGGACAAGGATCTTATAGCAGATTTTTTAAGTGGTATAGACGAGAGATGGGATTTAAGAGCACTTAAAGAGGTTAAGTTGATGGTTGATGAGAAGTGGCTGGTGAAGGCGGGGGGCAGAATCTAAGGTGGCTCCAAGGTCTTTACTTGAATAACTAGTTATTGGGAGTGCAGAGGATGTTGGTTTGGAATCACAGGCATGAGTAAGGGGAAGGTGAAGCACCTGTGGGAATTGGAGTGAAGAGATATATATTTTGTATATATATTGTTCTGGCACCAAAAAGAGAGAAGATGTAAGTTACAGATGCAGTCTCTGGCATGAAGACAGGGTAATAGATGAGGTCAAAGGAGAATTGTTTATTGAGAGGATACAGAAACCAGAATCCTGAAGGAATATAATGGAGAGTGGGGAAGGTTGCTCTGTGAAATTATGGCTGAGAATGAACTGTCAAGAGAAAATCTAAGAGGATATCAAGCTAAACAAGGGAAGGGAGAACGTTCCAGAATGAAGAAGTGGTCAGTAATGTCCTGATATACAGAGGGTCCCAGTAAGATACTTGCCAAATAGACTCTTCTAGGATACTTTCAGGTGAACTCCATTTAGTTGAATGGTAAGGACAGAAACTAAATTAAGGGGTTAGAGAATAAATGTTTAATGGTAAAGTTACACTGTGCTTTTGAAATATTTGAAGGAAAGGAGAATGTGGCAACTTAATAGGGGTTTTCATGGCTAAGGGAAAGTGTTAAAATGACAAAAGACAGTAGATGCCCTAACACTTTCTTTGCAAAATTAGGAAAGCCTGTAATGCCAGCACTTTGGGAGGCCGAGACGGGCGGATCACAAGATCAGGAGATCAAGTGGCTAACATGGTGAAACCCCGTCTCCACTAAAAAAAAAAATACAAAAAACTAGCCGAGCGAGGTGGCGGGCACCTGTAGTCCCAGCTACTTGGGAGGCTGAGGCAGGAGAATGGCATAAACCCGGGAGGCGGAGCTTGCAGTGAGCTGAGAACCGGCCACTGCACTCCAGCCTGGGCGACAGGACAAGACTCTGTCTCCAAAAAAAAAAAAAAAAAAATTAGGAAAGATCACAGATGTAGAGTCAGTATAAATTATTTTACATAAATATGTGTTGGATCAGAGAATGGAGGGGACATTGAAGGAATTGACTTAACAAGGAAGAGATGGATGTTACAGTCTCTAACACTGAAGGAGAGGGATGAAAGAGGCTCTGAAAATTTCTTGGGACACCAGGAAATTAAGGGAATTCCTTTCTATGGCCCTTACTCCCTTCTGCCCTACCCACATCAGAGCAAGACTTTGGGTGTGGTACAAGTCAGGAAGAATGGATTGAGTGTTGATGCAGCTGTTGATGGGAGAAGGAGGCCTGATCAGAGAGAGGGTAAAGTGACTTTGAGATCTCAACTGAGATTGCATAAAATGAATGCATGTTTGTACTTTTTTTTTTTTCCAGCAGGCCTCAGCAGCTGGGAATAATACAACAGAGAAGGTAGAATTGTATAGTAACCTCTTTCTTGAGGATTTGTGGGACAGATATAGCAAAACAAGGATGTGGAGGACTTATGAATGCATTTGAATGGTAATCCCATGAGGTTTTTGTGTGCGTGTGAGGTGGCGTGTTTTTAGTTAAGATCAAGGAAGCTGTTAGAGCTAGAAAGTGGGGTAAAAAATGAAGAGAAAATGAATTAAAGGGTTAGAGGTCTCAGAGCAAGTAAAATACGGAAGAAATAAATCTGTAGTCAATAGTGTAAAATATTTGCATTTAAGATGTTTAAATATTTAAGCATATCCTAAGAGTGGAAAGAACTTTAAATATGTGTATTTCATATAGCTTCATTGGTCCTTTCTTTAGATAAAATGTTTCTGATTTTATTTTCATGAGGAATGGTTCTGACTTGCATGATTTTGCTATAATAGTCGTGAACACACATGCATGGTAGGGCTGATCTCTTAGTGTTAATATATTTTTAATTATTATCGATGAACTTGTTATGCTTATTGGTACCTCCTTAGAAACCATCTCTTCTACCTATAATTTTTTTTTTTAACTTTTTAATTTTTTTCTGAGATGGAGTCTTGCTCTGTTGCCCAGGCTGGAGTGTGGTAGCAGGATCTCAGCTCACTGTAATCTCCACCTCCTGGGTTCAAGTGATTCTCCTGCCTTAGCCTCTTGAGTAGCTGGGATTACAGGCGCCTGACTTATTTTTGCATTTTTAATAGAGATGGGGTTTCACCTTGTTGGTCAGGCTGGTCTTGAACTCCTGACCTCAAGTAATCTGCTCGCCCCAGCCTCCCAAAGTGCTGAGTGGGATTACAGGCATGAGCCACTGCGCCCAACCCTACCTATAATTCTTATTCAGTCTTGATTTATTTCCAAAAGCAGAAAGTTAAGTGAAGAGAGTCTTCTTTGCACCAAAGAATTGATCAGTTATAATTTTAGCCAAATTATGCCCTCTTCTCAGTAGGAAAAGAGCTCTCAGTCTTGAGTTATTAAGCTTTGTTAACTGGGGAGCTTTTTAAAAACACAGAATCCTGGTTCCCTGACTCAGAGCTATCGAATCAGGATTGGGGCAGGTCAACTTTGTAAGTTCTTAAAACTCTAGAAATAAAACCTGAGCTAATAATGTTCAGGGAGGAATTTTAGTGTTCTCTGAGAACAACTCAAGGGTTACCTTAGATGAGTTTTAATAATACTTTTAATATGCTTCATTATGTTTCAGTTATTAAAAGAAATGTTTAAAAACGTAATAAAGAAATGGATACATTCGTAGAAGTGGAATTGCCGTATAAAGATTTTGTTTTTGTTTTTGTTTTTTGAGACAGTCTTGCTGTGTCACCCAGGCTGGAATGCAGTGGCACGAATCTCGGTTCACTGCAACCTCTGCCACCTGAATTCCAGCAATTCTCCTGCCTCAGTCTCCCATGTAGCTGGGATTACAGGTGTGCACCACAAGGCTGGCTAATTAAATTTTTGTATTTTTAGTAGAGAAGGGGTTTCATCATGTTGGTCAGGCTGGTCTCGAACTCCTAACCACAAGTGATCCACTTACCTTGGCCTCCCAAAATGCTGGGATTACAGGCGTGAGCCACTGTGTCCAGCCCTATATAGAGATTAGCACATTCTCTATTGCCAATACTCATTCATAATTACGCTCTTTATCATAAAGTATTAGTTTATTGGTACCAGCTTATTGATCATTGATAGTCAATGTATGAATGCTTCTCCGCCTGCTTACCAACACTGGGCATTATGTTTACAAATCAAATCATTGATGAAAAGGCAATTTTTAATTTTTTTAATCAATGAGATTGGATTATGCATGTTTTTGAGTGCCTTGCTTATATCTTTAGTGATACAGTTAATGCTGAATTTTAAAGAGTTGGGGGAGATGGGAAAGGAGCCCATCTCCTTTGGTCTCTCTCTTTCCTCCTCTTGCAGTTATGATCAGTACCAACTGCTGCCTCATGTTTACATTTCGTTTCTAATTTGTGGTTATTAACCTTTGTTCCATGTTAATGCTTAAATCAATAATACTGATTCTCTTTTGAAGCCATTCTCTCCAGGAGAGTCATACCAACAATTATCAAAGGGCATTAGAGTTTGCAAATGGTCAGAGGATTCCTTACTCTATGCTGTAGTAAATCCCTTCTTATGGGAAATAAGAATAACTCCTAGAGGAGAACTGTTAGGTCACAGTGTCAGTTTAGAAATAAAATGTGTCTATATGAACGAAGAATTAGAAAAAGCAGTGTTAGTTCCAGTGTAATGACATACTTTGTTCTCCATATTGCATCAAGAATATTAGCTTTATTTTTACAAATGACTTCATTTCTAAGAAGTTAATTTTTAAGAATTGTTCACTAGAGTTATAAACTAAGTTTGAAGATGTTACTCTGATTGTTGAAAAATAACAAAGATCATATAGAGGTTATATCTGTACTTGAATTCACGTTACCGTAGACTGGCGTATTTTTGCCATGGAATTAAACTTTCTGAGTGCCTACTATTTGCTAAATAAGTTAATTAAATTTTTGTAATTCAGGCAGAAAAACAAGTAGAAACTGAGGAGGCAGGAGTAGTGACAACAGCAACAGCATCTGTTAATCTAAAAGTGAGTCCTAAAAGAGGACGACCTGCAGGTAGGATTGCTGATGTTTAAATATCTGTTTGGCTTGTGATTAATATTCCAGTCCATTTAAAGTGTTGCTGCCTCAAATATTTTGGAATGAAGTGAAAAGGCAATTGATTGTGTGTAACATACAGATTTCAAAGGAGATAAACATGATTTGTGCTCTGTTTCAAAGTATTTAAATTTGAAATAAACTTTGCTTTATCTCTGTTATGTTTTCCCTAAATAGTGGTAAGAGAGGCTGTGGTGAGGTTAAAATTATCATGAATAATGGGTTTATTTTACCTTTCACTTAAGAGTCATAAGATTTCAAAATGGAGTTATAATCAGAGAGTGAGAAATAGCATTTGATTAAAGCCATTAATATTTTAAATTTTTGCGTTCTCTGTTGATAGGGATTTTGATTTTTACAGTATGCAGCTCTGTAAAAGTATTTTCTTAATTTGGCAAATTGGAAATATTTTGGAAAAATCTTCCTAATACAAAGTAAAACAAAACCAAAATTGAATTTTTTTCTACTTTTTACTAGAATTCTTACTGAAAATGGGGGGTAAGATGAGTAATACCAAGAAAAGAAAAAAAATTTTTATTTACATAATATTTTGGAGTTTCATATTGTAGTGGATAAAATAGTGCTAGGAAACTCAGTGAATTCTAATACGAACTTCCAAAGATATGTAACTGCATAAGTAATATATATAGTATGTATATGAATATTAAATATAAGTGCTGCTTCCTATTCTAAAGTTGAATTTTGTGACATTACTGTCAAAATGATAGAGAAAAATGTTTTAAGCCCTCTCAGTCATAATAAGGACAAAATGAGGATTACTCAGTTTACCTCTTTATAAATTTTTTGTTGTTGCTCATTTGAATCATGGTGGGGAGGTGTTTTTTAAATTTAGCAATAATTGTATCTAATAAGCTACTCATATTCTTATATAGTATGTATCATTTCTAATATTTATATCAGATTTGTATCTTAACTAGAAACTAGTAGTTACTGATTTTTTTTCCATGTGTATATTAGCTACAGAAGTCAAGATTCCAAAACCAAGAGGCCGACCCAAAATGGTAAAACAACCCTGTCCTTCAGAGAGTGACATGTGAGTTTATTTTTAATGTATAATTAGTTATGCAATAAATGAGACATTTGACTTCAAACAAACACATATCTCTGCGTTTTTATCAGTTTTCTCTTACAGGATGTTTGTTGTTATTTTGATATTTCTTAAAATTACAGAAAAAACTGGAAAAATTTTGTAAAGTAAAAATTGGTAAGGAATGGCTGTTTATCATTTCATTAAGACTTTTGGGTATATCAATTTATATAGATACTTAAGATAATACAAGGTAAAATACATAATAGAGAAATTGGGCAAGATGTTATGTTTCGGGAATTTTACACAGAATATATTTGAAGCAATGTCAAAAAAATTTTTTTTTTTTAAGATGGGGTTTCACTCTGTCGCCCAGGCTGGAGTGCAGTGGTTCAGTCACACACTGTAACCTCAAACTCCTGGGCTCAAGGGATCTTCCCACTTTAGCCTCCCAAGTAGCTGGGACCACAGGCATGTGCCACCACACCTGGCTAATTTTTTTTCATGAGACTGGTCTCATCTTTCCCAGGCTGGTCTCAAACGATTCTCCCACCTCATCCTCCCAAAGTGCTGGGATTATAGGCATGAGCCACTGTGGCTAGCCTACAGATCTTTTTTTTTTTTTTTGAGACGAGTCTCGCTTTGTCACCCAGGCTGGAGTGCAGTGGCCGGATCTTGTCTCACTGCAAGCTCTGCCTCCCGGGTTTACGCCATTCTCCTGCCTCAGCCTCCCGCGTAGGTGGGACTACAGGCGCCCGCCACCTCGCCCGGCTAGTTTTTGTTTTTGTTTTTGTTTTGTTTTGTTTGTATTTTTTAGTAGAGACGGGATTTCACCGTGTTAGCCAGGATGATCTCGATCTCCTGACCTCGTGATCCGCCCGTCTCGGCCTCCCAAAGTGCTGGGATTACAGGCTTGAGCCACCACGCTGGCCCAGATCTTTTTTTAAATCTCCTCCAGAATAGGTGCTTTATTTAAAAATGGGCTAAAATAATTTTTGTATGTAAATTTAATTTTCAAAGCATTTCAGAATAATAATTCAGTTATCCAGGAAATACGAGTGTTTTTTGGTTTTTTTGCATTTTTCCCTTGCTGCCTTTTCTACTTGGATCCTTTTTACTTTGACTTTTTTGGGGCATCTTTGCCAGAAGGAATACAGTATATTTAGACAAAGGAGGAGAAAAACTTTTTGTGGCTATTGTGTTTAAAGATTTGAAAGGCTTAAGTGGGGTATGTCTATTAAGCATAGATTTAGGCTTAAGTGGGGTATGTCTATTAAGCATAGATTTACATTGTTTTGAATGAACTGATTATAGAAAATTCTAATTGTAGAACACTATTAGAGAATTGGTATGTTTCAACCAAAATATATTTAAAGAATTTTACTGCCGGTCTGTATTTACTTTGAAAAATAGTGACACATAACAATATATTGTATACTTGAAAATTACTGAATAGAGAGTGGACTTTAAGGGTTCTCATCACGAAATAAAAATACGTATGTGAGGTAGGTAGTACATTAAATAGCTTGATTTAGCCATTCCACAATGTATACATACATCAGAACATTGTGTTGCACACCATAAACACATAGAATTTTTACCTGTCAATTTTTAAAAATGGTGGCAGAAAAAATACAGTATACTTTATTGTAGTGGAATTAAGAAATTGAGTACTTAACAGGTGAGTTTGCAGTCATTATTCCCTTGGAAATCTGAAATTCTGCTGGGAAAATATTGTGAGATCCCTCTATTTTGGATATAATTAGTGTTCCCTGATTAGGTCCCAGTTTTCCCTGGGAGTATGCTTCCCACTCCGTTTGTATTCATGGCTTTTGGCTGATTCCTCAGGAACTTCTCTACTTTTTCAGTATCATCCTTTGTTGCATCTGAAAAGGTCATTGGAAAATACCGCCCTGCTTATCAGCTGAGCAGCTTTCTCAGCCTGCTTTCAGACCATAGTAATGTGAGGGCCCGGTGTTCCTTTTTAGGAACTTATCCTTCTCTCACTTTCTCTTGATGCAGTCTGGTGTCACTTTTGGTAATATAATACTTTTGTATGTGTGTTTAATTCTGGTCAGCTTCCTATGCAATTATTCGTAAGGCTTTTCTCAGACATGCTCATCTTTATGTATTTAATAACAGATACTTTGAGTTTATAGGTTTTTCTGAGAAACCATCCCTCAGGAATCATTTGTCCATCTGAAGGATTAAGGAAGTCCAGTTTTAATTCTTAAGGATTGCAGCTATACCCTTTATTGGGTCTTTGACTCAGGCTATCACCCTGTTCGAAAGTCCTACATCCTTCCTTGAAAATAGGCTAATCTTTTTTGAACACATCTCTTTCTTGAACACTATCAGATTTATCTTGATGGTCATTTCATGCTGCCAGTATTCCATTTTGAAGCTTCTTCATCCAAAGCCACAAGTTCATTGAATGTATTTTCTTATTTTTGCTACTGTCCAATGGTTTTACTCACTGTATAATAACGTATTAGGGTTTCCAGTCTCCCAGCCCCAAAGCAAGTCACTACATGTTTTAGGTTTTTGGTCCTGGTGTCAGTTTCTCTATTAGTGAGCTTTTTCCTGAGGCAATGGACAACCCTAAAACAGCAGTAGCCTTTACAACATTTATTTCTTATTCATGCTGTGCGTAGGCTGAGTGTGAGCTGTAACTACTCTTGGTTGTGTATCTGGGCACATACTCAGTGGAGTGCAGAACTAAACTGTGTAAGCTCTTTTTAAACTTCTGCTCTTCACCATTAGAACACCATGTATCTCTTAGCGTCTGTTTCTTTGCCATGGGTACTGATGTGACACGACAGTAAAATAGAGCCCAGAAGAGCTAAAAACCAACTCTCAATCCTCAGAAATGTTTGTTAAAGCCTACTGAAGTATTTGGGGTTGTGTTTACATTAGTCTTTGCTTATATTAACATATATTAAAATATTAAGAAATTTACAAATACAACTTTGCTAATATCTCTTGAACTACTGAAAAGGGAAATTGTCACAAGTCTGTATTTTATGGAAGAACCACTGGGAAAAGACTCATTGGTAGCAAGCAGTGATAGTCATGTTTATGCAAATTATTTGTTTTGGCACAAAGATTATTTCACACCTTGAAATAGTCTTTTTTATGACCTTAGGATAAATTTTTAAAATAAATCCTTAAAGTCACTTTTTAAAGACGTGCTGTATGATATCCCACTGTATATGTTTTATAATTCTTAAGATCTATCCTATGTATTGATACATGATTTTAAAAACATTGTCATCTATTCTTTTGTACATAATGCAAATATATTGGTTAGGATACATTGTTAGAAGCAGATTTGCTGGGTCAAATGGTATTTGTATTTTTCATAGCTATTTCCTTCCATACAGGTATAACATTTTGGGAAAAGTAGTTGGCCAGTATTGTTTGAGACAAAGAAATGCCTTTTTAAATGGGACTCTAGTCCCATTTTTAGGAAACCGATTATCAAAAGATATACATCAGTAGATGTCCTGAAGAAAGCAAATAGTTTCACTTGCATGCTTTTACTTTCATTTATTAAAAGGATGGTTTTAATCCCAGAGAGGCTAAAGTTAAAAGGATGAAACCCATAGGACCATTAGAAAATAAGCATACCCAATGATAATTATGTAATAGAAAGTTTGTAAAGGGGCAAAAGTAAATTTCTTCTCTTCCAACTTAATAGTTCTTAAGTGGTCAAGGAATCCCTTGTCTGGAAAGAGGTTAATGGATTTGGAATTCAGACACTGGGCTTGTTATTTGACCTTTTGCATCATTTTCTCATCTGTCAAATGGAAGAGGTTGAACTGAATAAGTCTTCGAGCTCTCAAATTCATTGATTTAACTGAATAATTTGAGAAAATCTCAATGAAATTCTTTGGACAGTCAAAAGGTTATAGTTTTTAAACAGCTTATTCGAGCTTTAAAGGAATTGTTTTGGAAGAATATGTATCAACCATAAAATTAATTACGTGGTTAGTATTTGCATAATTTGATTCTCTTAGAGCCTATTTCTGTAGTACCAACTTGCATAAATATGCAGCAGTAATTAGGATTATTGAGCAGTTTAGGTAGTTTCTCTTGTTTTAGTGGTCTCTGTGAAATTCAGTGGTGATGGGAATACTTAGGTGCTAGTCAGCACAGCACTGTCTGAAAACATGCTTAATTGGCTATGTATTTATCATTACATGCTTAAGTTGCGACCTTTTTACCCTGCAAAGAATATTTATATGAGTTCTAAAATGACCGTATTTGATTTCACTTCCGCAATTCCATTTCTCCCAGTATGTCTACTTTTTAAACATAATTTATTCTTAACAAATATGTAGAATTTAAGTTCGATAAGAGCCAGGGATCTACCCACCTTATATCTTCTAATTTATACCAAAAGGATGTTCTGTGACAGAATTCCTTTTATGATTGGATAGTGAAGACACTCTGTTTTACTTTAGGTTGCCTTTAAATTAAAAATTATAGCTTACTGATACCTAAAATACTGTTCACTTGACTGGGAGAATATAGTTGAATGACAAATATACATTGTTATGTTCTCTGAAATAGCATTACTGAAGAGGACAAAAGTAAGAAAAAGGGGCAAGAGGAAAAACAACCTAAAAAACAGCTTAAGAAGGATGAAGAGGGCCAGAAGGAGGAAGATAAGCCAAGAAAAGAGCCAGACAAAAAAGAGGGGAAGAAAGAAGTTGAATCAAAAAGGAAAAATCTAGCTAAAACAGGGGTTACATCAACTTCCGATTCTGAAGAAGAAGGAGATGATCAAGAAGGTGAAAAGGTATAAAGTCTACATATATAAAATGGCTGTTCTATTCTTAGTTTTTATGTATATTTTTTTCTTTTTTTGAGATGGAGTCTCGCTGTGTTGCTTAGGCTGGAGTGCAATGGCACGATCTTGGCTCACTGTAACCTCTGCCTCCTGGATTCAAGTTATTCTCCAGCCTCAGCCTCCTGAGTAGTTAGAAGTACAGGCATGTGCCACCACTACTGGCTAATTATTGTATTTTTGGTGGAGACGAGGTTTTGCAATCTTGGCCAGGCTGGTCTTGAACTCCTGACCTCAGATGATCCTCCCATCTTGGCCTCCCAAAGTGCCTGGATTACAGGCTCCACACCTGGCCGTTTATATATTTCTTAATCTTTACCTAGTTAAGGAGCTTTTAATATTTTGGAGGAAGTCTATAAATATCAGTGGCAGTTAAACTGAATTTGTTCACGTTTTTGAATAGACTTGAATTAGCTATGTTACAAAGTGTATTTAAAATGTCCCTTTATTGTCTGTTCTCTAAATTTATCTTACTGTTTTACAATTATGATCTGGAAATTAAGTAAACAGTACCTTTCCAATAACTCCATCTGTCTAGAAAAGGTAGATGAAATGAAATAGGCTGTGCCCAGTGAAGACACATGTTAAAAGAGGTGGATTTATATAGAGATTTTTGTTATTTACCCCCAAGAAATATATTAACACTCTTCAGGCCTATTGTACATTTTATCAGTGGTATGTAACTTTATTTGGACGCCATAGTGGTTGGGAATCTTACTAAAGCTGTGTATCCTTTTGTGTAGAAAATAAAATGTTGTATATAGCCTTAGAGATTTACAGATCCAGGTCATGCAAATCTTTTGTTTGCTTTTATCTGATTTTTGGCTCATTTCTTAATCTTTTAGAAACCAAAAATTTTAAACTGGATAGGTCATGTAGTGTGCTTGTCACTAAAGTTAACTCACTCTGTAGAGAGGCAGACAGAGAGACATACTACATTTTATCCAAAGGACATCACTCCTATAGCCGGGCATAAAACAAGATGATTATTTCACGGTCATTAATCAAAGTTAAACTTGCAGAGATAGGTGTAATTCAAAGACTATTTTTAGGTTGCTAATTTGAGTATTCATCCCTTTTTTAAAAACTAGCTGCTGCTTTTCACAAGGTTGTAATTCCATAAGCACTAGTCATTGACTTTATAGTTAACTGAAACCATCCTAATTCTCAAAACAGAAGAGAAAAGGTGGGAGGAACTTTCAGACTGCTCACCGAAGGAATATGCTGAAAGGCCAACATGAGAAAGAAGCAGCAGATCGAAAACGCAAGCAAGAGGAACAAATGGAAACTGAGCAGTAAGTATTTTTTTCTTCTAAATTTTGGGTTCTTTTTAAAGGCTAGCATGGAATTTTTAAATAATAGACTTTCATTTTCCAGACTTTATGAAGCCTTTTGAAGAAGTGACTTTTCCCATGTGTTAGAAAAATCTTCAGTATATGATGATGATCTTATTTCAGGCTTCATTCTTTTCTGAGAGGATGAAATTGACTCAGGCAGTCACTCTGTAAATTATTTTTGAATTTAAACAAAGTGCAGATAGGATTTGATAGTGGCTTTGCAATAAGTGTACTCATCCTCTACTATCTGTTTGTATGATATAATACATATAGAAGGAGAGTTGGTAATATACTGGTGGAGAAAGAATGCAGGAAATACCCTTATTCACCACACCACCAAGCAGGCCTCACCCTAAAGACCAGCAAAAGTAACAAAAGCACATTTGGAAACCCAGGAAGCCAGTAAAAGTAAATCTGAAGGCTGACAGGGTGTACATTATTATATATGTGCAATATAAATCAAATTCAAAGCTGTTTTCTCTTAAATTTTGATAGAGATCATACTTGCTACGGGGAATTTCTTTCCCCTTATTATTTTATTACTAGAAGGAAAAGTAATAGCAATGATAATAAACAGACTTCATGTCTTTATTACATTTGCTTTCCTAGTTACCTTTAGACTGTCACTTCTGAGTTCTTTCTCTGACATGCTTTTCTTTCCTTGTGAAGCGTCTTACATTCTGACTAAACTTTGTTTTTTTTGTTGTTTTAGTGAGGTGATTTTTAAAACATGCTCTAGGTCAATAAGACAAAGTTAATCATGAGCAGTGAAACGATTCTTGGAATAATTTTGTACTCTTTTTCTTTATATAATATATCCGTAAGCCAAAGTCTTTCTTGACAAGTACAGTGTTTTACTCTGCTTTCTTAGTTTGGAGGATATACAAGTAGTTTTAGCTCCTTGAGGGAGTAATTTAAATAACTTATCTAAAGCTCAAAAATATTATTCCCTCTAATCTGTTAGACTTTAAGCACTTCTGTAAATATTTAAGTTATTCTTTGTCACCTATCATTTTCTATTCTATCTTTTCACTGAAAAGCTGTTGGACTGTTTGTTGCTTTTGACTTTATTGTGCTCCCAAAATTAAGATATAAAATTAGTTGTTATTAGTATATGTAGCCCAACCCTTCTTTAGTATCTTAAAGTTAACTTTATGTATTTCAGTTTCTTTTGAATGTCCTCCAATGTAACTTTCTCAAATTCTAATATTTGTGTTTTCTTTCCTTCTCCTGTTATTACAAAACTTTGTACTTGGACAGTTTTGCTCTGTAAAGCATTTCAGATGCAGCTTGTGTGAAATGCATTATGCAAAATAAAGTTTATTGTATTGTATTCCCAGCCAAACAACATGTAATCTACAGTAATAAAAAATATATCTCATTTTGGGCTCAAAGCATTAATCCAGTTACTGAAAAGAGAATACAAGTGGAGCAAACAAGAGATGAAGATGTTGAGACAGACTCATTGGACTGAATTTCCCCCTTCCCCCCATTGATGGAAGAATGTTCCAGATTCTAAATTGAGGACTTCATTATTAATGGCATTACTGTGTTATGATTGTTAACAAATTTCATGTAAGGTACACACTACATACTAAGGTCGGCCATCATTCCTGTTTTTTTTTTTTTTTTTAACCAAGCTTAAAATGAAGCTTTGTGTTTGAAAGTAATAAGCTCAGACGAAGATGGTGGTTGTACATTATTCATTTAGAAAATATAAAAATTCATTTTGTTTTGAAGCTAGTTATTAAACTGGAATAGCAGTTATACCCCCTGAGAATGGGGCCCTTCCCTTGACATTCCTTTGTTGTTTAATTCTTTAGAATCTTAATAAATGTTTTTTTAATCCTGAGAGATTAAACAGTAGACTTGTTAAGAAAAAAATGAAACTGTAACCAAAATTTTAAAATAAAGTTTTTTTAAAAAAAAAAACCTGATTTTTAGATATTTTTTGTTCTTGTCTATTTGAATTGGTTCATAATATGGCCTGAACTCTAAGCTAAGATACTAGAAATTAAGATTTTAATTTTAAGTGGTGATTTTTGTGATTGACAATAAAATGGTACCTTTTAATTTGTGAAATGTTAGTGAATGTTACTGGACGTCATTCAAGTTTGATATATTGGCCAAAAAAAAAAAAATTGGTATCTTACGTCTATTTAACGTTAAAGCTAACTTCAAAACTCATTTATCTACGTGTTACGTGCACAACAATTAAATTGGTCTATTTTAACATGCGGCTCTTAAAAAGAATTGATGTAGAAGCCATTAAATATTTATAGGTATTATCTTCCCATTGTGGCCTATTTGTCCAGTGACCCTGAAATCGTTCTTCTAGCAACACACTATTTATGATGTCACTGAAAAGTTAGATATGATTTAATTTAGCATGTTAATTTGAGTTTTGCTTATATTTATGCTATGGAACTGCACCATTCAATTTCTACAGTCAATTCCTTTGCAGTCTAGGTTATTGACTTGTTTTAAGGAAAACATTTTTAGTTTTTGCATAGGGATTGTGGGCATTTAGTGATCAGTCACAAAGTTCCAATGTTTTGAAATATCTGTGTTAACATTTGATAGGCAGAATAAAGATGAAGGAAAGAAGCCAGAAGTTAAGAAAGTGGAGAAGAAGCGAGGTTAGTTATTTCACTTTCTAAGATACATAAAATTATACATGGAAAGGAAGTTACATAGACATAACTTTTCGTGTATTGGTTTTGGAATCATTTCATACTCATATCCTACAAATACACTTTTTCAAATCCCTAATGGGCTTTATATAAATTGCATTGTATTTTAAGCATAATCAAGTGAACTTAAGTTGTCTTTGTTTAATGCTCATTAATTATTTGACAGTGTCAAATTTTAGTACACTTGCCGAAAGCTGGATGCTTTCCCATTTCAGACAAATCTCTTGGTTAAACATAAGGAAAAGCAGGTGTTTAGGGACTGGAGAGCAGAGGAGTTATCATATGCAGACTATTCATTGTAGAAAAAACGCAGCCAGGTGGTGCTTTTGTGCTTTTACACTGCATGTTGCTTTTCGCATCCAGACGCTAAAAATGGCAATAAGTACTTATTCTTAGTTAAGCTATTGTGTGTATCTGTGAGCTTCTTAGTAAAGATTACTGAGAAATTTTTTTTTTTTGAGTCCACTAATTCATTATACTTAGCCTGTATACAGAAATACTGGTTTTGGAAAACCTGTTCACTGTTTTTCACATATTTTAATTTATAGAAACATCAATGGATTCTCGACTTCAAAGGATACATGCTGAGATTAAAAATTCCCTCAAAATTGATAATCTTGTAAGTGTTTAACTTCATTTAAAACTACAGTACTGCATTTATAGCTTCATCTTTGATTTTCTCACATGATCTTATAAGTATGTAAATTTAAGATAAGGGATAAATTACTGGTCATTTTGCACTACCTTATTTTTTTTAAGTGATCTTTAGAAACAGATTATAAGTATTATGATAATTAACAGCTATGAAATTACTGTTTTGTCATGAAGGATGTGAACCGATGCATTGAGGCCTTGGATGAACTTGCTTCACTTCAGGTCACAATGCAACAAGCTCAGAAACACACAGAGATGATCACTACACTGAAAAAAGTAAGTGATTTCAAGTCATGTAGATTCTTTGAATTTTGTCATTACTTCATTTAAAAATTATTTAAATCAATTAGGCAAACAATTATGATGAATGTATATTGTTTTCTCAGATACGACGATTCAAAGTTAGTCAGGTTATCATGGAAAAGTCTACAATGTTGTATAACAAGTTTAAGAACATGTTTTTGGTTGGTGAAGGAGATTCCGTGATCACACAAGTGCTGAATAAATCTCTTGCTGAACAAAGACAGCATGAGGAAGCGAATAAAACCAAAGATCAAGGGAAGAAAGGGCCAAACAAAAAGCTAGAAAAGGAACAAACAGGTATGTGATAAAAAGCCAAGAATTTCACGCCAGTTTTTTGAACCATTTGCCAGGACTGCTCTTAAAAATGGCTTTGATGCATAGTTTCAGTGTTACCACCACAGAAAAAGTATACATAGGCAAAATGGTGAAAATGTGATGGGCTTATTGAAGGACTAGAGCAGTGTACATTCAGAACAAAAAATTCATGTCAATTTCTACTAGACTTCTAAGGCAGAAACCATTGTTCATGAGGCAGATGACTCTGGATAAACATTTTTAAAAAGCCATCCATCACAATGCCTCCTCATCCCTAGAGGACCCACTTCCTGGTTGCTCAACTGCTTCTGATGTTTTCTTCTCACCTAAAAAGTAAAATAGCATACAGTAGCCTTTTAAAACACAGCATCATAGGTGGAGACTACACTTGGTATTACTTGTTGCTGTTGACAGGCTAATACAAGTATTCTGATGATGCTGCTGAGTTACCCTGAACAGACTGTATTTTCACTGTATTAATGCCATGTCATATTTTTTACTATAAAGTACTTATGTGTGAATAAAGACAATGATTTCTCATTGGTAGCATATAAATTTAGTCAACAATGATGGTGATGCCAAGCAACCACAGATTGTCCATATGGGTCGCTAAGATACACCTTTGCTTTTTAATGGTTTTAAATGTACACAAACTTTCATATATAAAATTAAGATTGTGTGAAATTACCTTTAGGCTGTGTTTATAGGTGTGTACAAAACATAAACTAATTTCATGTTTAGAGTTGGGTCCCATCTGCAAGTTAAACTTACGTAAATTCAAATATTTCCAAAACAATTCTGTACCATACCTACATTAAATGAGAAAGTATTTTTGGTTTTTTTTTTAAAGATGGAGTTTCACTCTTGTTGCCCAGGCTGTGGAGTGCAGTGGTGTGATCTCGGCTCACCAAAACCTCCGCCTCCTGGGTTCAAGCAGTTCTCCTGCCTCAACCTCCCGAGTAGCTGGGACTACAGAAACGTGCCACCACACCTAGCTAATTTTGTATTTTTACAAATTTACATGGAAAAATTACAGATTTCTCCATGTTGGTCAGGCTGGTCTTGAACTCCCGACCTTGGGTAATCCACCCGCCCTGGCCTCCCAAAGTGCTGGGATTATAGGCATGAACCACCACACCCAGTGAGAAAGTCTTATAAAGCACTTAGATGTGTAGCATATATGTAAAGCACTCAACCCTAGCTTCTTTTTTACTAACTTTTAGTAGTAGTTAAATCCTGCTAGTATTTTTTACTAACAGTAGTTATTTTCACTTGTATTAGTAAAAATTTATAACATACACAAATAGAAATAACTTCCTATATCCCTGTCATCCAAAAGCTTTCTCTGTGCCCCTCTTAAAAGTTGTTTTATGACAAATCCCAGACATATCATTTCACTCATCAGCATTTCAGAATGTATGAAATACTCTTAAAACAGAATCATAGTACCATTATCAGCTCTTCCAGTCTTGTTATTAAACATCTTTATGGCAGCTGCTTAAGGTAGAAGCTGGCATTTCAAAAGCGGTTGTTTTTTTGTTTTTGTTTTTTGTTGTTGTTGCTTTATTGGGGAATGATATGGGTCCCCTTAGAGAATTATTAATATGACTTACAGGAAAAGCCCCCTTATTTATTAGGCACAAAAATATCAATTAGGAAATACTCCTTTAGCACTTTGTTCTAAAATAATAAATTTTAAAATTTGATTCACATTCCTTTTTCTTAGTAGTAGAATAAATCAATATGCTAAGAATTGTAACACCCTGTAGTCTTCCTGGTAATAGTAACCACCAGAATAACCGGATTAATAATCCACTTCCTGTACCATAGATACAGTTAAACTGCTTTTTATGGTACCTTAGCTACCCAAAGCCTCCGGTGGTGATCCGCTCCCCTCTTTTTGATAAAGCATCAAAACCCAATTCTAACATTCAAGAGAGGGCTGTATTACAATGTAATTTCAAATAAAAGAAACTAAGTAGTAGAAACACGAGGGCCATGTTGTATTTTGATTTTGGAACTTTTTAGTAGACACCTTCAGTTATTTTGTAAGCTTTTAACAAAGTTTTTCCATTGGATTCCTTCTCAAGGGTCAAAGACTCTAAATGGAGGATCTGATGCTCAAGACGGTAATCAACCACAACATAACGGGGACAGCAATGAAGAGAGCAAAGACAACCATGAAGCCAGCACAAAGAAAAAGTGAGGAATAGGTTTTAATGGGTCTTGTGTGTTTTATTATTCAAGTTTTTAATCACAGTTCTGTTCCAAGGTTATTTTAGTATAAGCAATTATCTTTTGATCACCCAATTCCTGAATTCAGTAAGCAAGTTACAATTCAAAAAGGCAGAAGAGTAAAAACCTTTTATTGACAATGACTTTGCCACTGAATTCAAGGGAATGGAGCTCGCTGGGAATGCAGTTAAAAAGAAAATATTTGCTCCTGGACTACTTTTACTGAGATACTGTTAGTAATGACTTGCATTCACACTTTTGTGAATTGTGAGAGGATAATTGTAAACAGTTAGATGGAGAATCACAGGCTGTTTTTTTTTCTTTTTTTGAGACAGTTTCTCTCTTGTTGCCCAGACTGGAGTGCAATGGCATGATCTTGCTCACTGTAACCTTCACTTCCTGGGTTCAAGTGATTCTCCTGCCTCAGCCTCCCCAGTAGCTGGGATTACAGGCACTTGCCACCACGCCCATCTAATTTTTGTATTTTTAGTAGACAGGAGGTTTCACCATGTTGGCCAGCCTGACCTCAAACTCCTGACCTCAGGTGATCCACCCACCTCGGCCTCCCACAGTGCTGGGATTACAGGTATGAGCCAACACACCCGGCCATCACAGGCTGTTTTTTAATACCCACCCTAAAATAGGCTATGGAGCCATAGTTGAAGTCTTGGTTTGTTCCATTGTGTATTTGAAGGACTTTGAAGCATCCCTTCTAATTCTGAAATTGAGGGAAATCTTGTTGTCTATGTGTATATCAACCTTACTTTTTGTTTAAGATTTTGAAATGTGTTGGTATCACAGATACAAAACACGCTCATGTTCTTTAATCACTTTTAAGCTAGAAATGATGGAAAAGGCTTGGTCTGTGACACTTTCCTGAGTTATTTTGCTTCATCTGCATATTACTTTGGGAAGAAGATGTAACAGTTTTGAAGAAGAAAAAAATAATGACTGTTCTAATAACAAGTCAAGTTTATTTTTGGTTTGATTTCAATCTTTTCATGAGTTTAAAAATATAATGCAGACTTAATGTCTTTTTTTCTTCATTAGGAGAAAATCCTAATTCCAGTTATTGTACCTTTCTTTCCCCCTTTTCTTCAGGCCATCCAGTGAAGAGAGAGAGACTGAAATATCTCTGAAGGATTCTACACTAGATAACTAGGTTGACATACCGGGAATATAGAGAACACTTGAGAAGTTTGTAATGGCTTTCATTTGAAATAGACTGCTGAAAGTTTTAAATTTTTATAAGCATAGGTTTGATGTTGAAAATTTGTTACGGGGGAGAAGATCCCTTTATCTTTGTTTTAAAGTAAACATTATCGCTAAGTATACTTGTGCAGTATTAACAGCTACATTATACAGTAAATGTGGGATAAAATCCATTTAGAAAATGTTAAACTGCTTTTCCAGACATGGTTGTAGCATATTTTCAATTAGTGTGTGTATGTTAATGTGTAATTGATAGTAGAACAAAGTTACATTTTTAAAACTGCTACTTGTATAAACCTTGCCTCTTTCCCCAAATACCGTGGGTTTTGTGCATAGTTTTTACAAACCTTGGATTTACCAGACTGTCTTTTCACTGTTTGTGGGTTTTGTAGAAGTTGAGCATTTTTATGGTAGATAAAATGTTACTTCTATACAAGTACTCACTCCCTTTTTATCAAAAGTCTGTATGGTTTGTTTTGGTATGACAACTAGTTAAGTAACTGACATTGAACTGACTGAGAAATCTACAAACTATAAAACATGATGTTAATTTTTGAAGGTAATTTAGTTTTGTGGCTGGACATTCAGTGAAGTCTTAGGACTTCTCTGCAGATAACTGACTGGCTATATATAGGAATGAATCTGGCTTTAGGGTTAAATCATTTAAGGTCCTTTTATAGGCAGGCACTAGTAATTAAAACTGAAAACTAAGTAAGTTTATTTTTGAGAAATGTTAAAGATGTCTTCAGGAAATCACTAAGTAGTACTTAATTGGAAGAAAAAATCATGATGCTTAGACAATAAATATAAATAAATGCTATATAAGGAAACTCACCTATTTGAAATTATGGCTATATTATTTTTATTTTCTAGATTCCAAAAATACAAACACTGGTTCTTCCAACATAGTACTTTGACAGTCTGTACATTGACGGGTATGGACTAAATCCAGGGTGAAATCAATGTTACAAAATTTAAGGGTATGTTAACTAAATGATAGCATTTCTAAGATTTTGAATATTAGGTCATTTGGCATTTTTCAGTAAGTAGGATACTTCTCATGTTTTGAAACTATATGAATATGGAAAAAAATGGCTTAAGACCAGTGTCTGTGTATGACATTGTATGGTTGACTCTCTGGGATAACTGTTTTCATCTACAGAATTGAAGTTTTGCTTTTATGAAGTCTTATAGTGGAACTAGGAATCACTGTTTTGAGAGAACCTGCATATATACCAGTCATTATCTGTTCGATCCTTATACAGTTTTAACTTAGATTTATTCTAGTTAAGCCATAAGTTCAACGTGTAAACTTGTTTTGATTAAAGAATTTTTCTACCAAACTTGAGTAGTAAATTACTTTCTTCCTATTTACAAGAGTAAGTGATGAAACTCTGGGTTTGCTGCCAAGGAAATAATTTCTTAGTTAACTGGTCACAGAGGTTGTGTTGTTTTGGGAAACAGGGTTAACTAAACAGTGAGCTCAAGATGATAAAAATAAAGGAAATATTTATCTTTTGTTCACCCTCCCTCCTTTCTTCCCATAACCCACTAGATCTATAGTTTTGCAAAGAAGCCACAGAATATTCAACTTCTAGAGATACAGCATCATTCTCATAATTTATGTCAGCTTGTACAAGCTGATCTTGCTCTAACTAGTTGATGTTCGCTTCAAGCATAACTGCCTTTTAATTGTAACTCTCAAGAAATTTGCTTTGTCATAGGCTGATTTACAGATAACTATCATTCTCAGAACTCTTGATAATTATTCATAAGACTTAAGAACTTTCAGGATCATTGAAATTGTTCATTGGCTCAATTGGTGTGTGAGGTCAAAACTCCACAGCTTGACAAGGCACCAAGAGGTAATTTTGAGATAGCCCCCACCCTGCCCCGCAAAAAGTATGTGTAATATGTATGTTTTAACACCTCTTTTGGGCTGGTATGTGTGTACGTATGTGTTTTGATTACTGGGTAAAAGAGTCATACATCAGGCGGGCTCAGTGGCACGTGCCTGTAATCCCAGCTACTCCGGAGGCTGAGGGAGGAGAATTGCTTGAACCTGGGAGGCAGAAGTTGCAGTGAGCTGAGATTGCCCCACTGCACTCCAGCCTGGGAGACAGAGCGAGACTCCGTCTCAAAAAAAAAAAAAAAAAAAAAAAAAGTCATACATGACTGAGCAGAACTATTGAAGGTTTTCTTAGCTGCTTGGAGAAATCACAGATACATCCATCTGAATCTGAGAACTGATTGGGATTTGGTATGTGAACAACTGGAGAGAACCATGCACTTTAATATTATATCCGGTGATTTCAAATAATATGATAGATTTTGCTGATACAGTACTGCTGTCTATGTTCCTACTCACACTTACCTGGTTACAGATGTCAGGTCAAGATGAGGTCTGCATCTAATCCTGTATAAGAGCAAAGATTTTTCATAGGGTGCTGTGAGGGCTTCGCTAACTTTATTTTGTCCGATTGGCCAGAGAAAGGATGCTCTAATGGAAATAGCAAACCCGTATCATTAAACTCTTTAGAAACAAAGAAGCTGGTTTAATAGGCAGAAATGTGTGTGTTTGGGCTGTGTAATTCTGCAACACAATGTTAGAGATGACCTTTGTCCTAGTAAAACTAAAATGTCTAATTATCCTTAAACGGTACTGAGGCCTGAAGAACGTTTAAAGAAATAGCTATTGCTTCTCTGGTGACTTTTGTGCATGTGCATCCACTGTTATATAAAAGTCAAATTCAACTACCAAGCACGTTGATTGACATGTTCATGACAACATTTTCACATTTGCCTGTCTTCATTAGATAATGTGTTACATGTAATTTGACAGGTGTGTTATTTTGATTGAAATAAGCATAAAGAAAAGCTGTCTTGAAAAAAGAGAAAAGCTGTCTTAAATCAGGGGTTTTATAGCTCCAGAAATATACAAAGTTAGCAATTTCTTTTGACTTGAACTTGGTTGGATACCTGTATAACTGATACATAACACATGGGCAAACTGGGAGTAACCTGGTTAACTTTTCTCCTCAGTTTCACCAGGAAACAAAAATAGGTACCTGAGTCTTTGATGAAAAGGTTAACCTTAAGAACTAGCAGAAAAACATTCTCAAATAATAGAATGCCAGTAGCAGAAATGTTTTAACTGGCATGTTTCTTCTTTGTCCACTAAAATGAATTGACACCACACACGGAATAATGCATTATGACAATACTTAACTTTTTGAAGTTTGAGAGTATGAAGTGAAAATGAATAAAATATCCTTGCATATGCATGTAAGACCTATAAGGAATGCAGTATTACAAATAAAGGAATCAAAATTTTTACCCATGGAATTTTAGGGTTGGGTAAATCATTTAACTTAAATCTATGGTTTGCTGGCTGTTATCAATCTGCTCAATTTTAGCATTGTTGTATACAAGAAAGTAAAAATTTAGGTATAACATAAGCCAGCCTCTGAGTTCTCTATACTGATTATCTGCATACTGACTGAATCAGTGAATGAGAACACTAGACATACCAGAAGCACGTGTTTGTCCTCTCCAAGCCAACGGACTTAACTGTTTGTGGCATTTAAGTCCATAAAACATACTTCACTGTCAATCTTTTAAACACATAGGCTTATAGGTTTCGTCAGTTTTCCATTTATATAAATGTCTGTTCTTAGCCATCCATTTTTCAGTCAAATTTAAATACAACCTAGAAGAGAAAAAGTGGAATTTTTTTAAATGATGCATTTGAAATCTATAGTATTCCTAAACGTTTTTAAACAGTAATTTTCTACCCATAAAGGTTTCCAGAAAATATTTGAATGTAGAGAGCTATAAATCTATCTGATGGTCTAAACCTGAAAATAAATAGTTTCTTTTGCTGGGTGCTATGGCTCATGCCTGTAATCCCAGCACTCTGGGAGGCCAAGGCGGGTGGATCACTTGAGGTCAGGAGTTCGAGACTATCCTGGGCAACATAGTGAAACCCTGCCTCTACAAGAAATAAAAAAATTAGCCCGCCATGGTGGCCGGTGGCCTGTGGCCTGTGCCTGTGGTCTCAGCTACTTGGGAGGCTGAGGTAGGAGGATCACCTGAGCCTGGGAAGGTCAGGGCTCCAGTGAGCCAAGATCACACCACTGTACTACAGTCTGGGAGACAGAGTTAAGACCCTGTATCAAAAAATAAGTTTAAAAAGTTTTTTTTTTTTTTTTTCTCAGAATAAGATGAGAGTAACTAGGATTACTATAGTAAGGGGACCAGAAAAATGGAAGACCTGGGCCAGAAAAACTTATTTTTTTCTTTTTGCTTATAGAATACTGGTATATATCCAATAATATCATTACCCAAGAATAAGTGAGCCAGAGCTAGCACATCAATAGGATCTTGATTTTTCCATGTCTCCACAGTCATACGAAATCTATTGTTTTTAAAATCATAGTATTAAATTGACATATTTTAAACTCATAGCATTCATAAAGCTTTTGTCAAGAAATAAAGCTTCAAGCTAATGTTATTTCTGGAGTTGTGAGTATACACTCAATATCTTTTTAAATCCATTATTCACAAAGTCTTATTAACATGTCTTGTATGCCTAGTTTCCTTCAAAACAAAACCTAACATTACTCAACAGCACACGAACATTAAATTACCCCAAAGCAGCCGGGCGCGGTGGCTCATGCCTGTAATCCCAGCACTTTGGGAGGCTGAGGCGGGCGGATCGCCTGAGGTTAAGAGTTTGAGACCAGCCTGGCCAACATGGTGAAACCCTGTCTCTACTAAAAATACAAAAATTAGCCAGGAATGGTGCCAGGTGCCTGTAATCCCAGGTACTCGGGAGGCTGTGGCAGGAGAATCACCTGAACCTGGGAGGCGGAGGTTGCAGTGAGCCGCGATTGCACTGTTGCGTACATTGCATACACAATTGCGTACTCCAGCCTGGGCAACAAAAGCGAGACTTTGTCTCAAAAACAAAAATAAATTATCCCAAAGCTATTAATTTTGTCTTGTTTGTAAATAATTCATTCTCCCTAATTTCCATTACAGATATTTGAAGGATCTTTACCTTGGAAGCCTCATGGTAGAAGGTGTAGCTCTCACATTCTTCAAAGCATTTTCAAAACACTTCCACTACTTGATGTATCATTAATTCTATCTTTAGCAAAAAAACACTCTGGACAGAGAATGAATAGGGAAGGCATGGATTGGGAGAAAGAATATGTGTGTCTGACAAAGGATTTAAAGTCAGAATATATAAAGTACTACAACTCAATGGGTAAAAAGCACTAAATTAAATACTCTTTGGAATAAATATGAAATTTAACTATGTTATAAACATTTAAATACAATCATTATAAGAAAATCTGTGATTTGGAATTTTTTTTGGTAGCTTTAGCAGACTGTTCAAAGTGGATCCTGTTCCTCAGTGGCGTTTCTTAGAAAAAAGGTAACCATCCAAGAGAACAGTTATTTCATGAGGGGGTACTTTCGTGAGTGTAGCTATTCTTAATTAAAGGTTCCAGGATCAACATAAGGATAAGCAAGGAATTCCCCCAGTTTGTTGCCTTCTGAATCATAGTGGAGCATTCGGAAGCAAACATCACAAAAGAAACATGGGTCCTCTGGTGCAAAACTGTCATTGTTCGTCACCCATCTGTAGTTTTTAAAAAAAGAAGTACATCATTACAATCAAATTTTCCATACCTTAACATGCTTTAAGTTACGACCTGTAGCAATATGTAAATATAACATTCTCACTATTTCCTTATTAGTCTGTTATTAATGCATAATCTTTAATTTTGTATACATAGATGCAAATACCACCAATACTCTCTACAAAGCCAAAAGGTCATCTAATATTAAGAAACACTGCAGAATGCTGTTTCTCTGTAATAGTTACCCTTAAAGAAGAATATAAATCTACTTGAAAGCATCACACATTTGCCATGACATACCTATCCTCCAAGTATGAATATAGTCATTTTCTTCTAACAGACCATCTTGAAAAACTGTAACAAAATTAGATGCTACAGATCTGATACACTTTTGCAAATATACCTTCTTAACTGATAAATGAGTACCGGTTAATTTGAAAACTTATGTAACTATATTTACCTATAACTCAAGATTATGTTATAAAGTATATACAAATGGCAATATGGGCAACATTATTCAACCAAAATGTTGAATGGCATGAAGATGCTATTGTATGGTATGTTTGAATTATGCATCTCATGGAATGTTTGCTTTTAACATTATTTTCCCTTTTATCTGATTTATCATGCTTTCCTGTTGATCTTTTAGAAAAGAATATTGTGGGGTGGCGAAAACAAACTGAAGATACAAGCTGAGTATCCTTTATCTGGGCTGGGCGTGGTGGCTCACGCCTGTGATCCCAGCACTTTGGGAGGCCAAGGCGGGTGGATCATAAGGTCAGGAGTTTGAGACCAACCTAGCCAACATGGCGAAACCCCATCTCTACTAAAAATACAAAAAAAAATTAGCTGGGTGTGGTGGTGTGCGCCTGTAATCCCAGCTACTCAGGAGGCTGAGGCAGGAGAATCGCTTGAACCCAGGAGGCAGAAGTTGCAGTAAGCCGAGATTGTGCCACTGCACTCTAGCCCAAGGGACAGAACAATACTCCATCTCAAAAAAAAAAGAGTATCTTTTATCTGAAATGCTTGGAACCAGAAAGAAGTATTTCAAATTGCAGATTTTTTCAGATTTTTAAATATATTATGCATATATTTGCCGGCTGAGCATTCCACTGAGAATGTGAAATCCAAAATGCTCCACTGATCATTTCAGCATCAGATGTTGCCACTCAAAAACTTTCAAGTTTTGGATTTCTGATTCTTGAAATTTGAAATGCTCAACCTATACTAAATTTCCTGTCCTCTGAGTGGCTTTCAGATTTTTTTTTATAGTTATTGCTGTGTTGTCCAGGCTGGTCTCCAGGCCTCAAGTGATCCTCCCACCTCAACCTCCAAAAGCAACAAACTTTTTTTTTCACTGACCCACAGTAAGAAATGCTTTATAATCTAAACATGAAATAAAAATTTTATAAAACTCTATTTTAACTTCATGTGATGTGCTGTGGTATTTTTTTAATTGATGAAGTTTTATTGATGAAGCTGATTATGTAAACTGTGTGGACAAGAGGCAGAAAGAACATGGTTCTCCAAGCATTTTGTATTAAACAAGGTTTTCTTTCCTTAGACTTCCCAAATCCCTTTATGGTAATGTACACTGTGACCCTTTAACAGGGAGTTACTGTACAGAGCTTTTCTTGAATGTATTCTATCAAAGAATCCTTGCTTTCTTAACACTAGTAACTTTTATTTTTATTCACCTAGCTGTATACATTTTACAAGCCTGAAATTTGACCTACCCCTGGACTTGTGTATATATAATATTTCCTTACTATTTAAGAATGTCAGTTTTAACTCACTAAACTGGTTTTGTGGCACTTCCCTACTACATGATACTTCATATTTATAACCTAAAGTACAAATATTCTTAGATCCAAAGTGGAAAACAAATACCAAAAGTCAAAACTACCATTTCTCAGAGAAAAAAAAAATACATTATCACTCACCTAGCTGTATACATTTTACAAACAAAACATTTTCTGGTCCATAGCCAATGCTTCTTGATAAGGAGGGGATACAGTGTCCTATCCAAGCAGTCATCATGATGCACAAGCCTTTTGTTCATGGGAAAATAAAGACATTAAGGTGATAAATATTAAATGACAAATTTTTATGAGCTATTAAATAAATCTGTACCTGAGTATTAGGAAAATAGATACTTTCAATTTTTGCTTACAAGATGTTGCTAAATTACTTGTTATACCATGTTTGACCAAACTGTGTTCCACAAAATACTTTCTCCAAGAGCATTTTGGATTAAACAAGGTTTTATTTCCTTAGACTTCTCAAATCCGTTTACGGTAATGTACACTGTGACCCCCGCTAAGAGGGGGTCATCATATACAGCATTTCTTGAATGTATTCTACCAGATAATCCTTGCTTTGCTTAACACTAGTACCTTTTATTTTTATTTATTTGAAATGGGGTCTTACTCTGTTACCGAGGCTGGAGTATGGCGGCATAATCTTGGCTCACTGTAGCCTCAAACTCCTGTGCTCAAGCAGTCCTCCCACCTCAGCCTCTCCAGTAGTTGGGACTACAGGCATGCACTACCACACCTAGATAAGTTTTAAAATTTTTGTAGAGACAGGGTCTCACTATGTTGTCCAGGCTGGTCTCAAACTCCTGGCCTCAAGCAATCCTCCCACTTCAGCCTCCCAAGGTGCTGGGATTACAGGTGTGAGCCACCACACCTGGCTAACATTTAGTACCGTATAATGAAACAATTTGGGCAAAGCTACTCAGTAATATTTTACCTAGATTAACTGGTTGTTAGAATGTGGCTCTTGTTTTTTTAATGTCTCCTTTATTAAAATCTAATTCTGACTCATGGCATAATATGAATTGGTAGAATCTTAGTTTTAAGTGTCAGAATTATGAAACCTTTAAGAAGTTTCATAACTTTTATTAAAAAAAAAAAAATTGAAGTCAGTCTCTACTCTGCCACTAATCAGCTCCACGGCTTTGGGTAAATCCTGTAAATCATGACAGACTTCAGATTATTCTGAAAGATGAAAGGACTACACAAAATTGTTCTAAAGGTCTCTAACAATTCTAAAATACCACTTTTTTTAAATTAAAACTTTCACCATCAGAAAATAATTAACCTTTTGATAGCTGGTATTATGGAATGGCACTGAATGATTAAATCCACCTGTAAGATAAAAATGACTTCTCTAAATTGCCTTTTGAAAAGCCCTACATTGCATACTCTTAATAAATGTAAACTTTTAAAAAAAAAACAAAAGGGCAGATGTGGTGGCTCACACCTGCAATCCCAACACTTTGGGAGGCCAAGGCAGGAGGATCGCTTGAGCTCAGGAGTTAAAGACCAGCCTGGGAAACAGAGTGAGACCCTGTCTCTACAAAACATAAAAAAATTGGCCACGCATGGTGGCATATGCCTATAATCTCAGCTATGGGAAAGACTGAGGGAAGAGGACTGCTTGAGCCCAGGAGGCTGAGGCTGCATTGAGACATGATTTTGCCACTGCACTCCAGCCTGAGCAACAGAGTGACACCCCCTTCTCAAGAAAAAAAAAAGTGTAAATTGCTTTTTCTTTGACATTCAAACAGATCATGTTTCTTTTGTTGATCATTGTATCAAGAAGTTACCATGAGTTTAAGGGTCATGTTTTTATCCTTCAGCCTTGGAATCACATTGTTTATAGAAACAGGCCTACACTATAAGAAATGTATGGAAAAGGCCAGGCGCGGTGGCTCATGCCTGTAATCCCAGCACTTTGGGAGGCCGACGTGGGCAGATCACCTGAGGTCAGGAGTTCGACACTAGCCTGGCCAACATGGTGAAACCCCTTCTCTACTAAAAATACAAAAATTAGGCCGGGCGCGGTGGCTCACACCTGTAATCCCAGCACTTTGGGAGGCTGAGGCGGGCAGATCACCTGAGGTCGGGAGTTCAAGACCAGCCTGACCAACAGATAAGAGTAGAAACCCCGTCTCTACTAAAAATACAAAATTAGCTGGGCATGGTGGCACATGCCTGTAATCCCAGCTACTCAGGAGGCTGAGGCAGAAGAATCGCCTGAACCCGGGGGGCAAAGGTTACGGTAAGCCGAGATTGTGCCACTGCACTCCAGCCTGGGCGACAAGAGCAAAACTCGGTCTCAAAAAAATAAATAAATAATACAAAAATTTGTCGGACAAGGTGGCACTCACCTGTAATCCCAGCTACTTGGGAGGCTGATGCACGAGAATTGCTTGAACCCAGGAGATGGAGGTTGCAGTGAACTGAGATCATGCCACTGCATTCCAGCCTGGGCAACAGAGCGAAACTCTGTCTCAAAAAAAAAAAAAAAGAAAAGAAAAGAAATGTATGGAAAATAAAGCCATCAGAGAGAACTGGGGGTTGCCTTCCATCTTATGTTTATTATAAGGCTAGCATATTTTCCCACATTTGAAAGGAAGAGCAGGCAGAACAGCTTATATAATTTTTTTTTTCTTTTGATACAGTCTTGCTCTGTCGCCCAGGCTGGAGTGCAATCTTGGCTCACTGCAACCTTTGCTTCCTGGATTCAAGTGATTCTCATGCCTCACTCTCCCAAGTAGCTGGGACTACAAACGTCCATCACCACACCCAGCTAATTTTTGTAGTTTTAGAGACAGGATTTCACCATGTTGGCCAGGCTGGTCTTGAACTCCTGACCGCAAGTAATCTGGCCACCTAGGCCTCCCAAAGTGCTGGGATTACAGGCATGAGCCACAGTGCCTAGGCTGCTGATATAAAATTTTAATAACATCCAAGACATAAATGTACTGTCTATAATTTTAAAAGCCATATAAATCCAAGGTTTATATACGCTTCTGGCTCTTGCCTCCCCATTCTTCTTCCCTAGGGGCAACTGTTTTCCATTCTTAATTGTTTGTTTAGAATTTAGCTCCTCAACTTCTCCCCACAGAACTACCATAATTTTGGTTAAACAGATATTTAATTCATGATGAATTAGTGCTATTTCTACCTAAGCCACACAGTTGACATTTATGGGATGACATTTTGTTTTCTAGCTATTAATCTATTAATTCTCTCCTATTTACATTTGCTTAATTTTCTTTCTTTTTTTTTTGAGACGGAGTCTTGCTGTTGCCCAGGCTGGAGTGCAGTGGCGCAATCTCAGCTCACTGCAAGCTCCGCCTCCCGGGTTCACACCATTCTCCTGCCTCAGCCTCCAGAGTAGCTGGGACTACAGGCGCCTGCCACCATGCCCGGCTAATTTTTTATTTTTATTTTTTAGTAGAAACAGGGTTTAACCGTTGTTAGCCAGGATAGCCTCAATCTCCTGACCTTGTGATCCACCTGCCTTGGCCTCCCAAAGTGCTGGGATTACAGGCATGAGCCACCACACCTGGCCCATTTGCTTAATTTTCAATGTACCTATCATGAATTCAGTCACCTATTTTCTGACAGAACAGTGAACAACCGGGAGTCAACCAGTTTATTTTCCCCCCCAGACATCCTTCCTGAGTTCTGTATGCTCCTGGCTCCAGACCCTGGATCAAATCTCCAGATCTGGTACAAAGCTCTCACACTGGGATTCCACTTTTCCATCATTCTGAGAATCCCTTTTATGTCTATTTAACCTATTCTGCCTATTCTGTGTTGCATTCCATGTCTTTCTTGTTCATGGTGTACACTTTCTGTGAAGCACTTTTACATCTTCTGGTAGTTTCCGGAGATGGAGTGCATGAGATACAAAATTTTGGAGATGAGTCAGTAAGACTAAAAATAGAAGCAGGGACTTTCTGAAAGCATCAGTTTCTTTCTTTCCTATTTTTTATTTTTGAGACAAGGTCGCACTCTGTCACCCAGACTGGAATGCAGTGGCATGATCATAGCTCACTGCAGCCTTGACCTCCTGGTCTCAAGCAATCCTCATGTTTTAGCCTGAGTAGCTGGGATTCCAGGCACACACCACCATGCTCAGCTAATTTTTGTATTTTTTGTAGAGAGGGTTTCACTTTGTTGTTCAGGCTGGTCTCGAACTCCTGGGCTTAATCTGCCCACTTCAGTCTCCCAAAGTGTTGGGATTATAGGCGTGAGCCACTGCACCTGGCAGGCATCTGTTTCTATTACTGGTATAATAAATTACTAATTAATACTAGTAATTACTGGTTTCTAATTACTGGTCAAACATAGGTACATTATTGTTCCACAAAAAAGTTTTAAATGGTCTCTCATAAGGAATCAAACCAGCACTGGAGCAGGGTTTCTTCGTACACAGTATTCTTTCTTAAACAGATTTCCTAAATAAAGAGGAAATGAATAGCCTTATTCATGGAATAGAGCTATTAGCTGTTTAAATTTATAACTCATCCCCAAATCTCATTTTAGACTATCTTAGCTCCTTCCCAATTTAAATCTTTGTCAAAGCATTAAGACTTCACATTTGTCAAATATTAGAATTACTCTTCCTCCAATTCCCTTTTATCTCCTTCAAATTTTGGCAAAAAGAGAAACCTAAAAACAAAGTTGCAATGTTATCTATAAATGGATAACTACTACCTGAATAACAGCTGTTTAATACAAAATGGAGATACTTTTTAAAGTATTAACAGATTTTTAACCTTCTAATAGTAAAGTATTTCTTATAGATTTTCCAAAATAATGAACAACAGAGGATGCAAATGGATGGAAAGAGTTGGTCTTTGCATGGAAAGAAGACAGCATTTTTGCTGCTTCCAAGTCAAGTTGCACTGATCATTACTTTTACTCTTCTTATTTTTAAAAAAACTATCTCTGCTTTTGTACTCTGAAATAAAGAAAAAAAAAAGTAACCTACCTTATGTCAGTAATGACAATGACATGTTCACAGTCTCCCTGATGACAGTATAAGTAAGGAAAACCCAGTTTAATACACAAGTCATTGAAGGTGAAATCTTCCATTCTAGCAGTCTGAAACTTTCCATATCCTCTATCATGGGACTCTGACCACTCAATGATAGTTCTAAGGGGGGAAAAGGCAAGGATATATCATTTTTCCACAAAAACTTAAGAACTACAGAAAACAGTTTGTGACTGCAGTAATTCACATTAACCTAGCTCACCCAACTAACTGGACAGTTGCCATCTTGAGATGAAGACCAAAATGTTTGATACATGTTGAGATTAGGAATGCTGAATTTTCATAAGGGATCAGTTTTCTGCAGGTTACATGATGTGTATCACTTTAGCTTAAATGCAGAATGTGTAACAATGTCACTCATTATTGAGTTTTGAAAAATATTTTTCACAAAATGTTAGTATGTAATGAGATTTAATATTTCAAATGTTTCTTAGTTTGAATGTTTAATATCATAAATATTGATAGTTATAACCCACATAAGCAGAAGCTCATCGGAGTCTTCAATTATTTACAGTATAAAGAAATGCAAGGCTGGGCACGGTGGCTCACACCTGTAATCCCAGCACTTGGGGAGGCCGAGGTGGGCGCATCACTTGAGGTCAGGAGTTCGATTCCAGCCTGACCAACATGGGGAAACCCCATCTCTGCTAAAAATACAAAATTAGTTGGGTGTGGTGGTACATGCCTGTAATCCCAGCTACTTGGGAGGCTGAGGCAGGAGAATCGCTTTAACCCGGGGGGCGGAGGTTGCGTTGAGCCGAAATCACGCCATTGCACTCCAGCCTGGGCAACAAGAGCAAAACTCCGTCTCAAAAAAAAAAAAAAAAACAAAAACCAAAAATGCTGAAACCAATAGGTTTGAACTGTTGGGTTAGAATACAGATTAAAAATGGCTATAATAGGTTGGGCATTGTGGCTCACACCTGTAATGTAGCACTTTGGGAGGCTGATGCAGGCGGCTTGAGGCCAGGAGTTCAAGACTAGTCTGGCCAACATGTCGAAATCCTGTCTCTACTAAAAATACAAAAATTAGCCAGGCATGATGACACACACCTGTAGTCCCTGCTACTTGGTAGGCTAAGGCACGAGAATGGCTTGACCCAGGAGGCACAGGTTGCAGTGAGAGCTGAGATCGTGCCACTGTACAATGACAGAACGACACTTTTTTTTTTTCTTAAAAGGCAACAATAATATATATACTTATATACTCTAATTGCTAAGACATTGATAATGAAAGTATAGTCTCATTAAAATGAGCTTATAGATTTTTTTCTATATTATGTACTTAAGCAACATATATATCACCATCATCTAGCACAAACAATAGTATATACTAGATAGGCAGAAAAAACAGTGACAGGTTAATTTACCACTATTACTTATATGTAAAGGCCAGAGACTAATAATGCGTGTTAATGGGATTTAATTTATTATTATTTTTTTTAGAGACAGAGTCTTGCTATATTACCCAGGCTGGAGAGCAGTGGGTATTCACAGGTGAGATTATAGCATGCTATACAGCCTTGAACTCTTGGTCTCAAAAGATTCTCCTGCCGCAGCTTCTGGAGCGGCTGGGACTACTGTACCTGGCTAATTTTTTTTTTTTTTTTGGATGTATGTAATGCTCAAGACAAGATTTACCAATAATTCCTTGGCAAAGGTCCTTAAGAGGCCAATAATAGGATTTGTGGAGATAACACTACTTTGATAACTAGAAATAGGAAGGACTTTGAGAAGATTTTTGGAAACTATACCTGCTCAAATCTCTGCATTCTGGGTATCTTTTATCATTATAAAATGTTCCTTCAAAATAAAAGAAGGCTGATTTGTATAGGTCCTACAAGAAAACAGATGGTATTGAGAGAAAGTCAACTATTAACAATTATGAAATTGCTCTAAGTATTAATTCAAAATTTATGTATCATAAAATCACACTAATACAGGTTACAAAAACTGCTGCTACTTTCAATTTTACCCTACTGCTGTTTTAATCACTACGTTTGATTCAAATGTGTATATTCTCCCGAGATTCATGAAAGAAACCCAATTAGAAATCAAATAAACATCATTATTTTATCCTATGAATATACAGCAGTAAGTAGTGTTGGATACTAGAACTAAAAACTAAACAAAGTCCTATCTTTAATGTTTCCCCAGTGATAACATTGATCATCAAGTTATGTTTTTCTGGCATTTTTTATATTTGCAATGTTTTTACAAAAATTCTCTCTTTATATTTTCAGTAACTCTTAGGCAGACAGAATCTGAATTTCTATTTTTACTCAAGCAATCTTGCCCCAGGTACCATAGTTGTACCACAACTGGTGGGAACCTTCAAGGTTTCTTAACTCATTCTACCACAGCTTCCGTCAAAGGAGTGGCTCTCACTCCTGACTGCAAAATCAAATCACAAAAAAACCAAACACCAAATGTCAACTCGGACTCATTAATTAAGAATCTTTGGGGATCAGTACTTTTCCAAAGCTCTCTAGAAAAAAACATGCAACCAGAGTTGAGAAGCACTCTGTTAAACTGGTCCTTCACCATCTATTTAGACCCCTGGATGAGGGTCAGAAGACCTGAGTTCTTTTCCTTAACCTACCACTTACTAGCTTTGTGATTCTGGTATGTAGCAATCACTTCTCAGACCTATTTTCTCATCTGTGAAATGAGAATAGTAGTATATGCCACGATGTCTTACAGGATTGTGGTGAAGACCAAAAGCAATTTATGTATAGGAGATATATGCTTCAGGTACTAAAATAATTTTCCCCTAATATTTTATTTTTTTCTCTTACTTCTTTGAAGCTTCCATTTTTCTTTCCTGTCTTCATTCCCCCACTTACAGATCATCTTGTGTTCGCATCAGACACTCTTGTAAGACTGGCTATCTTGTTTCTTCTTGGACCAGTCACTAAATCTCACTCACCCTCTGTTCTCCCATGTAAAATGTGAGTAAAGCCTTTACCTTTCTCATTGGTTGTTATGGAGATTAAAATGTATAATGTACTTAATGTCATATGACTAGCTGCTACAATACAAAATCTGCCACTTAATATACTTCTACACCCTCAAAGAGGTAAGCAGGGTCTGAAATAAAGGTTCTAAATAAACAACTATTGACTTATTTTGGAAACAAAATGAAGTTTAATATATATAATTGTGTTTTACAAAACACTTCCATAAAACCTCATCTTAGGTGATTTAAGCAACTTAATATCTTTTGGCATAATTATTAATTACAAGGTGAACTCTAAAAGAACAAGAATGTTTTCCATTTAAATCAAAAGTCATCCACTAATAAATTTCCCTGGCCGGCATAGTGGCTCACGCCTGTAATCCCAGCACTTTGGGAGGCCGAGGTGGGCAGATCACCTGAGGTCGGGAGTTTGAGACCAGCCTGACCAACATGGAGAAACTCCGTCTCTACTAAAAATACAAAAATAGCTGGGCATGGTTGTGCACGCCTGTAATCCCAGTTACTCAGGGGGCTGAAGCAGGAGAATCGCTTGAACCCAAGAGGCAGAGGTTGCTGTGAGCCAAGACCGCGCGCCATTGCACTCCAGCCTGGGCAACAAGAGCAAAACTCTGTCTCGAAAAAAAAATAGAAGAGACAGAAACAATATGACAGTAGATATGTAAATATTTTAAAATACAATTATGGGTTATTTAATCCCTGCTTAGAAAACTTCTGAAGGTATCAGCACCAATGTACAGACCAAGTAAATTGACAAAGCCTGATTAAAACCTTCTCCTGGGCAACACAGTGAGTTGTTGCCCAGACTGGACTTGATCAAAAACAGACTAACATTCTCCAGGGCTTCCTGAAGGTAAGACTGATTCCCAGATCTGACTCAAATTGCTCTGAGCAATGTTCAGATGGTCGAAATGAAGAGGATAAATTCAGATTTTTCTTCTTAGATTGATCTTATTATTTAACAGTTACATCTTATGTTTTTTTTGACAAGATTAACTTTGCAGAAGATTGCCACTGCTGCTTTAAAGAAAAGATAAATCTTGGCCAGGCGCAGTGGCTCACGCCTTGTAATCCCAGCACTTTAGGAGGCTGAGGTGGGTGGATCACCTGAGGTCGGTAGTTCGGACCATCCTGGCCAACATGCTAAAACACCGTTTCTACTAGCCAGGCATGGTGGCTCATGCCTGTAATCCCAGCACTTTAGGAGGCTGAGGCAGGTGGATCACCTGAGGTCAGGAGTTCGAGACCAGCCTGGCCAACATGGTGAAACCCCGTTTCTACTAAAAATACAAAAATTAGCTGGGTGCAGTGGGGCTACCTGTAATCCCAGCTACTTGGAAGGCTGAAGCACGAGAATCACTTGAAACTGGGAGGTGAAGGTTGCAGTGAGCCGAGATTGCATCACTGCACCCCAGCCTGGGCAACAGAGCCCCATCTAAAAAATAAAATAAATAAATAAAATAAAATAAAATAAATCTCGTATTTCCTGGTTCACAAAAAATTTTGAAATTCTACTTTTCTTTTTATCCTAATGTTTCTCTCCAAAAGCACTAAGATGGCAACCCTGAAGAACCTAAATATCTAAAAACCATTTTTAGCATAACTCAACAGGTACTTAAGTGAAATCTACATGTGAGCCATGATGCTAGTCTCCACACTGGTCACCAAAAACTGGAATACAGTCAGCCTGTGGAGCAGACACACATGCATTACACTGAATCAGCATACTGAAATATACACTACAATGGACAAATGAAAAGGTGCCAGGGTAAAAAAGAAAGGAGTCAAGAAAACTTGTATATAATTGGTGAGTTTTGAGCTGGGTTTGGAAATCTGAGAATGAACTCACAAAATGGATGGAAGGAAGGAAAGGGCTTCCTACCATGTTCAAATACTCAGAAACATGAAAAAGTATGGTACACTGATGAAAATACACAAATTCACTATGGATGAATAGGTGTAAAGGCAGTAAGTGAATAGTACAGAAAGTTAATTTGGGAATCATCATTATAAAAGGTCTTATATGTCAGCCTAGGGAGAAAAAAAAAAAAAAAGCTAACATTAAACCTAAGTTATACCAACATTTATGTGGCTGGTGGAACAGGAACCAGGAAAAAAGGAGATTGTATTGGTTCCTGTCCAAACACTATCTCCATCCTTGTTGTTCCAAATATCTTTTTACTTATCTCTAGGAGATGCTATCCCTCCCCCGAAATAGCCCTGTCAACCTGAGGCCCTCTGCCAGAGTTGTAGCAGGTATAGTTCAATCCTGCCCTATGATGAAATGTGGAAGGGACCAAGGCCCTCCTGCTTTATTAGGTAAACAATCCTTTCTGAAAACATTGTGGGTAGCCAGTCTACCACACTGCTCCTTTCCATCCTTATGGTATGCAGGACTTCTCTTTCCTTTTGAGAGCAACACACTGGGGAAACACCATCAAGGACCAACTTTATATGGTCTCTCCTTGTTTGGTACTGGTCCTTGGGCAGCGAAAGGCAAAGAATGGGTGCTAACTATTAAGGCTCTCAGGTCGACTCCAGCCTTTTGCTGGGGGCAATTATGACAGATCGCAATGCTGAGAGAGCTTAAAACAAGAGTGAATGAACAGCAAAGTCATATGCTACAGTGAGGTCAAATTATATAAAAATGGAAAAGTGACCAACTGCTTAGAAAATTAGGTGGTCACTATTAGCCCAGAAGGAAAAGTCTCCATACAATAGTTTAGAAACAAATGAGAGATGAAGAAATCAAAACAGAGTCTAGCCTCTTCTTTGGAAAAGTTCCAGTGATAAAGGGAAAAAATGAGATAGTGTAGTAGCTTGATGGAATCCCACAGGAGAAGAAAAGGATTTACTGGGACATTTATGAACCTGCTAGAGTAATCACTATTTTCTTAGCTTGCTATTTCCTTTTGTTTTATGGGAGGAAATCACCTTACTTTGCTGATGTGCTCAGGGGCTTGGTCAGGAGTGTTGCTGAATTCACCACCAATCTGGAGGTCACTGACACAGCGAATTGAATCCCTCAGTTCTGTGAGCTTTTGACTGCCCAACACCAGCATTGTTTGGTATGGTTTGTGTTCTTTGTGCTAAAAGTCAAAGAATAAATAAGTGTTCATTTAGAGACAAAGCAATAAAACTACAAATCCTGTCATCACTAGAACAAAACTAAATTGCTGATTTTCTTAAGTTTTTTTTTTTTTTTTTTTTTTGAGATGGGGTCTTGCTCTGTCGCCCAGGCTGGAGTGCAGTGGCACAATCTTGGCTCACTGCAAGCTCCACCTCCCGGGTTCACACCTTTCTCCTGCCTTAGCCTCCTGAGTAGCTGAGACTACAGGCGCCTGCCACCACGCCCGGCTAAATTTTTGTGTTTTTAGTAGATACGGGGTTTCACCACGTTAACCAGGATGGTCTCGATCTCCTGATCTCAAGATCTGCCTGCCTCGGCCTCCCAAAGTGCTGGGATTACAGGCGTGAGCTACTGTGCCCAGCCAGTTTTCTTAAGTTTAAATTGTCCCCATAACTTGATGTTCTATATTTTCACATCCAATAATTATAAGGCCAAACTAATGGTCAAAATTCAGAGTGGCTCCCCTGTGATCCAGAGCCACTCTGAAACCACCTCCTTTATCACACAACAAGCCACTATTTCCCTCAACCTGGTATTCCCTCAACCTCAATCCACCCAGGGCCCAGCACCAGGCTACAAGTGACAGCCCCTCTGCCCCCAAACCTACTGGAATTATTCAAATTAGCCAATCCTAAACTGTTTACTCTTCCCTACCTTGTCTTTCCCACAGAAATCCCAATAAAAACTGTGGTCTATGCCTTCCCCTCTCCCCTTTCAGCCTCCTGACTGAGAATGGTGCTCTTCCTGTGGCCCTACATGGTATGCGCCCTCCTCTAAGGAAATGTAATAAAAATCTTCTTTCAAAGGCATTATAGCCTCCCCATGTCATCACTCAGTCACCTCCATAAATCAGAATAGTATGGAATGGCCAAGCACAGTGGCTCATGCCTGTAATCCCAACACTTTGGGAGGCCGAAGCAGGAGAATTGCTTGAGCTTAGAAGTTCAAGATCAACTTGGGCAACACAGAAAAACCCCATCTCTACAAAAAATTTAAAAGTTAGCTGGGCTTTGTGATACATGCTTGTATTCCTAGCTACTTGGGAGGCTGAGGCAGGAGGATTGCTCGAGCAAAGCTGCAGTGAGCTGCGATTGTACCGCTGCACTCCAACCTAGGCAATGGAGCAAGGCCCTGTCTCAAAAACAAACAAACAAGCAAACAAAAATCCCATAGGTACAACTGACATACTTAGCCATGGAAATTTTCTGGTTTAAACTAAAGCTTATAATCAAGATGATACCAAACTGACATGAGCATTAACAGTCACTGGAAAATAACTTCATTTAGCAAGACTGTCTTAAAATTTCCTAAAAGTTACTTCATTGAGGTCAGGCAATCTATACTGCAACCTAAGGTTATAAACCCAGAAGCATTACTTTGGTTTGGTTTGTTTTTATGATTGGTCATTTGGGATCTTTTTTTGGGGGGAAAGGGGTGATGGTGGGAGCAGAGTCTCATTTTGTCACCTAGGCTGGAGTGCCATGGCATGATCTTGGCTCACTGCAGCCTTGACCTCCCGGGCTCAAGCAATCCTCCCTAATAGGTGGGACTACAGGCACAAACCGCCACACCTAGCTAGTTTTTGTATTTTTTGTAGAGATGAGGTTTTGCCACATTGCCCAGGCTGGTCTTGAACTCCTGAGCTCAAGTGATCAGCCCACCTCAGCCTTCCAAAGGTGCTGAGGATATAGATGTGGCCCATTACACCTGGCCAGCAATTTGAGATCTTAATTAAATAAGATAGTTAGTACTAACTACATCCCAGATGCTTCGTAAAAGCCTATTTATTCGTAAGTGCAATTTATATATATTAATATTTCAATGACAACTCATCAGAATTTATGACACATCTATTTAAGGAATCAAGAATATATACACTCTGGGCTAGGAAAGAGTTCTTTGTCCTAAGAGAGTCTTGGATACCCTTGACTTAATAACATTCTGTATTTTCATCAAAGAGTCATCTCTGGTCAGTTCAATAACTTCCCAAGTATTCTAAATTAGTGAACATAGGTCACTCCATTCCTCCGTTAGCCACCTATTCTGCAAAAATCTCTCAAGAATTTGTAGAATTAGAATCATTATGGATTTACATATACTTTCAGTTGCTTCTAGTGTAGAAATCAGGCATATATTTCAATACTATAGCTGTAATCCTATTGGATTGAGAGACTGTTTGAAATTTGACCTTATTTCCAATATTCCTTATTAGAACAGATGACACAAGATTACAGATTGTCAACTCTAAAAAGAAAATGTCAGATAGGCAGCATATACTTGCATTTATTAGACAAAGTCTCACTCTGTCTCCTAGGCTGAAGTTCAGTGGTGCAATCAGCTCGCTTGCAACCTTGAATTCCTAGGCTCAAGTGATCCTCCCACCTCAGCCTCCCAAGTAGTTGGGACTACAGATATGCACCACCATGCCTAGCTAATTTTTCTGATTTTTAGTAGAGACAAGGTCTCACTATGTTAGCCAGATGGGTCTCAAACTCCTGGCCTCAAGTGATCCTCCCGCCATGGCCTCCCAAAGCGCTGAGATTACAGGCATGAGTCACCATGCCCAGAGCATTTATTTTTTAACGTAAGCATAGGGACATGACTCTTCAAATAATTAAACACTTGTACAAAAGTTACTATTATCCATGAACTCCAAAAGGTTTTACTACTTACCTTATGAAATATAACAGGGTACAGGATATTCACAGATAGGATAAGCTCCCCTTCTTCAATCATGTCTGCTGAATTTTCAGGCTTTTTTCCTATGGCATGTGACTCCTGAAGAAAGAAAAAGAGACAATGAAATCAGATACTATAACTCAGGTAAGATGCAGTGTGATACAATGGCTCTCAGCAAGGGATTGAGTCAAGCAGCCTTGGGTTTGACGCCTAATTATAGGCGTCCAGGAAAATTGTTAAGACATCTCTAAGCTTTAGTTTCATCTTCTTTCAATAAACAAACAAAACCAGAAAATACTTACTTTACAAAACTGTTGCTGGGAATGTGTACATAATGCATCTAATAAGATGTGTGGTACTGAATACTTAGCAGTTGATGAGCAAACAGGAGTATCAACTAATGTTGGTATAACACTGGCATTTCCAATTATATTTTTACATTCCTTATCAAATATTCCTATGAAAGCTATTTTACAGATAACGCTCACAGGTTCAGTGATTTACTCAAGGCCATACCAGAGAGTTAGGATGCAAATACAGATTTGTTTGGCTCTAAACCCCATGCTTTTTATAACACCATGACATCTTTAATATATTTTGATCTTTTATGTGTGCTGAATTAATATAAATCAGGGGCCAGGCTGACCTGGTTTAGATGCAGGATGTTTTAAAAATAAGTGGGAATGATGTCACAAAATAGAGTAGGCAGCTCCAGGGCTCAGTCCCTCTAACAGAAGCAACCAGTAAGCTGGAATGAAAGACTCGAATAAACTACTTTGGAACTCCGGAACCTAATGGGACACTTAAAACAATCAGGGGAGTGTTTGATGAAGGGAGAAGTTGCTGCTTTTTATTAGTAAGCACTGTGTGCAAATCAACTACCACCCTCACTCCTTCACCCCTCTGTTGATGAGACAGCAGCCTGAATTCCTGGAGAAGCTGGCTGGTGCCAGGGCAGACAGTGAGGACCTGTTCTCTAAGAACTGGGGATTGTATGTTCTGGTTGGTGTGGTGATACCGAGTGCCTGGCCCAGATACGTGCATTGGTTTTGACCCTCTTGGTGGCAGCAGCTTCCCCCAGCAGGATCTATATTGGAAGACTTAGAGACAAGATGCCTTTTTTCTTTTTGGAGCCAGGTATTTAAGGAAATCTTTGTCAGATCACTGACTGACCACAGAGATAATGAAACAGAAACATCAGTGACCACGTACAGTAAGTAATAAACATGCTGCAATAACTGTTTGGAAAAGTCACAGGCAACTCCAGCAATGCACAAGAAAAAATATACCTAGAATGTCTAGTTCTCAACAAAAACATATAAAACACACGAAAGAGGAAAGTATGGACAATTCTTAGGAAAATAAGAATTTGACAAAACCAACCTTGAGGAGGCCCAGACACTGGAATTACTAGTCAAAGTGTCAATTAATTATTCCTACAGGCAATAACTACATTCACATATAAATAAAAGTCCACTAAACAAAGATGTTAAAGCAACTGACTTAAATGTGCTCAACGAGTACCCCAGAAATTTGTACAATTCATTATGTATCAACTTTAAAAATGTGCTCAATCAGCTAAAGGAAACCACAAATACTTAAAGAAAATCAGATTCCTCAATAAGATTAACAGCAGTTTTCTCATCAGAAGCCATGGAGGTAAGAAACCAGAGAATGGGCAGATAGACAGATGAACTGACTGATTTTTTAAAATCTATCTATCTGTGTAGCCTAGGTTGGCCTCAACCTCGGGATCAAGTGCTCCTTCTGCCTCAGCCTTGCGATAACTGAGACTATGGGAACCCACTACTGTGTTCAGCTTTTAACTTTTTTTACCTCTGGATGACATATTTAACCCCATGAAAGAAAAAAAAAATCCTGTTAACCAAGAATTCTGTATTTGGCAAAACTATCCTTCAGGAATGAAGGAGAAATTAAGCCATTTGCAGATAAACAAAAGCTAGGGGAATTAATTACTACCAGTAGACGTGACCTGTAAGAAGTGTTAAAGAGGATTCTTCAGGCTGAAATGAAAAGACATTAGGCAGTAAACTGAAGTCATAAGAAGAAATAAAGAATACTGCTAAAGGGAACTACATAGGTAAATATAGAAGCCAGTATCACTGTACTTTTGGTTTGTAACTCACTCCTCTATGATTTTTCTGTTTTTCCAATATAATTGCAAAATAAATGGATTAAACAATACTTACAAGGTTATGTTAATGGACACCCAATATATAAAGACATGATCTGTGACAACCCAAAGAGGGACAGACAAAGATGTGGAAGCAGAGTATTTGAATACTATAGAAACAAAACTGACATAAATGCTCAACAATCATGGGATGATGCCCCAATAAACCCCATAAATAAAAAACATCACAAGTGGAAAATGCATTTAAGACCCCAATAGGCCGGGCGCGGTGGCTCAAGCCTGTAATCCCAGCACTTTGGGAGGCCGAGACGGGCGGATCACGAGGTCAAGAGATCGAGACCATCCTGGCTAACACGGTGAAACCCCGTCTCTACTAAAAAATACAAAAACTAGCCGGGCGAGGTGGTGGGCGCCTGTAGTCCCAGCTACTCGGGAGGCTGAGGCAGGAGAATGGCGTGAACCCGGGAGGCGGAGCTTGCAGTGAGCTGAGATCTGGCCACTGCACTCCAGCCCGGGCGACAGAGCGAGACTCCGTCTCAAAAACAAAAAAGAAGACCCCAATAAACCCATCACAAAAACACCCTAAGTCAAACCACTGTAGGGTGAGGACTGTCTTTTATATAAACCACTGTAGGGTGAGGACTTCCTTTTATACAAAGGAAGTTGTTTCAGTTTTAAGACTTAATTGTAATCCTAGCTGGGCACAGTGTTTCACACCTGTAATCCCAGCACTTTGGGAGACTGAGGCAGGTGGATCACTTGAGGTTAGGAGTTCCAGACTAGCCTGGCCAACATGGTGAAACCCTGCCTCTACAAAAATACAAAGATTAGCCAGGTGGGTGCTTGTAGTCCCAGCTACTCGGGAGGCTGAGGCACAAGATTCACTTGAACCCGGGAAACAGAAACTGCAGTGAGCCAAGATCAGGCCACTGCACTCCAGCCTGGGCGACAGACTGAGACTCTATCTCAAAGAAAAAAAAGTAATCCTTAAGTTACAGAAAAATAAGATGTTTTCACATGTGTTTGTAGTCCCAGCTATCAGAAAACTGATGTGGGAGAGTCACTTGTGCCTAAGAATTTGAGGCCAGCCTGGGGAACATAGCAAGACCCCATCTCTAAAAACAAAATTTTTTTAAGGTTTCAATAGACAAAGAAAGATATTATACATTGGGAAAAGAAGCCATCCAGCAAGAAGATATATACATATACAATTACAAACTTATATACAGCTAACAGAACTCTAAAATTTAAGAAGCATGGGAGACCAAGGTGGGCAGACTGCTTGAGTCCAGGAGTTCAAGATCAGCCTGGGCAACATGGCAAAACGCCATCTCTACAAAAAATACAAAAACTTAGCTCAGCATGGTGGCACACGTTTATAGTCCTGTCTACTCGGGAGGTGGAGGTGGGAGGATAACTTGAGCACAGGAAGTTGAGGTAGCAATGTGCAGTGATGGTGCCACCACACTCCAGCCCGGGCAACAGAGCAAGACCCTGTCTCAAAAAACTTAAGTAAAATAAAATATATGAAGCAAAAAGCCGAGAGAATTGAAGAAATAGACGGTTCTATGGTAATAGTTGGAGACTTTAATATCCCACTTTCAATAACGGGTAGAACAACTAGACAGAAGATCAATAAAGAAACAGGAGACCTGAACAACTGGAACAATTAGACCTAACAGATAAACAAAGAACTCTCCATCCAACAACAGCTGAATACAGGTTCTTCTCAAGTGCATATGAACCATTCTCCAGGATAAATCAACAAATCTTATATTAAAAAAAATTAAAGTAATAAAGGTATCTTTTCTGATCATAAGTATTAGAAATCAGTAACAGGAGGAAAATTGGAAAATTCACAAGTATGTGGAAATTTAACAACACGCTCTTGACAAAAATCACAACACAGGAAACTTAGGGAGATGCAGTAAAAAGAGTGATTTTAAAAAGTTATAGCTGTATAACTTTATATAAAAAGAACAATCTCAATAACTAGATAAGGAATTAAAAAGAATAAACTAAACCCAAAGCTAGCAAAAAAAACGGAAATTATAAAGATGAGTGGAGACAAATGAAACAGAAGAGAAAATATAGAAAAATCAATAAAAACAAAAACTGGTTCTTTGAAAACATAGAATTTGGCCGGGCGCGGTGGCTCAAGCCTGTAATCCCAGCACTTTGGGAGGCCGAGATGGGCGGATCACAAGGTCAGGAGATCGAGACCATCCTGGCTAACACAGTGAAACCCCGTCTCTACTAAAAATACAAAAAATTAGCCGGGCGAGGTGGCGGGCGCCTGTAGTCCCAGCTACTCGGGAGGCTGAGGCAAGAGAATGGCGTAAACCCGGGAGGCGGAGCTTGCAGTGAGCTGACATTCGGCCACTGCACTCCAGCCCGGGTGACAGAGCAAGACTCCGTCTCAAAAAAAAAAAAAAAAAAAAGAAAACATAGAATTTGACAAACTTTTACTGCACTGATTAAGAAAAAAGAAGACTCAAATTACTAAAATGAGAAGTAAAAGTGGAGACATTACTACTGATTTTACAGGAAAAAAAGGATTCGAAGACAAAACTATGAACTACTATTTGCCAACAAACTGGATAATCTCGATGAAAAGGACAAAACCCTGGAAACATACAAACTATCAAAAGTGATTCAAAAAGAAACAAAAAATCTAAATAGACACGTAACAAGTAAGGAGGTTGAATCAGCAATGAAAAATCTCCCAAAAAAGAAAAGTTATCAGAACCAGATGACTTCACTAGTAAATTCTACCAAATATTAAAAGAAGAATTAATATCAGAGTTTCTCAAACTCTTTCAGAAAATTTGAAAAGCAGTAAACACTTCCTAACTCATTCTATGAGACCAGCATTATCTTGATACCACAGTGAGAAAAAGACACTACAGGAAAACTACAGGTCAATATCCCTTTATAAATAGGAATGCGATAATCTCAACAAAATACTAGCAAAGCAAATTCAGAGCCATATTAAAAGGATTTTGTCAAATGCGTTAATTTTTGTGAATTTTCCAACTTTTCTTCTGTTTATAAGAAAAGGTATTTTTCATGATTACAATTTTTACTGAATTCCACAACCAAGTGGAATTTATTTATCCTCAAAATGCAAGGGTAATTTAACATTAGCAAGTCAATCAATATAATACACCACACTAATGGAATGATGAGGAAAAAAAAAACAGATCACGACCTCAATTGACACAGAAAAGCATTTGACAAAAATCTAATACCCTTTCATGATAAAAACACTAAATAAAATAGGAACAGGGCTGGGTGCAGTGGCTCATGTCTGTAATCCCAGCAATTTGAGAGGCCAAGGTGGGTGGATCACCTGAGGTCAGGAGTTCAAGACCAGCCTGGCCAACGTGGTGAAACTCCGTCTCTACTAAAAATACAAAAAGTAGCCAGGCATGGTGATGGGTGCCTGTAGTCTCAGCTACTTGGGAGGCTGAGGCAGAGGTTGCAGTGAGCCGAGATTGCGCCACTGCACTCAGCCTGGGCGACAAAGTGAGACTCTGTCTCAAAAAAAAAAAAAAAAAAAAAAAAAAGGAATTAAGAAAACAATTTCACTTACTATTAATAGCATTCAAAAGAATAAAATATTTAGGATAAATTTAACCAAGGAAGTGAAAGGGTTGTATACATAAAAAGTATAAAACACTGCTGATAGGCTGGGCACGGTGGCTCATGCCTGTATCCCAGCACTTTGGGAGGCCGAGGCGGGTGGATCACCTGAGGTTGGGAGTTTGAGACCAGCCTCACCAACACAGAGAAACCCTGTTTCTACTAAAAATACAAAAAATTAGCCAGGCGTGGTGGCACACACTTGTAATCCCAGCTACTCAGGAGGCTGAGGCAGGAGAATCGCTTGAACCTGGGAGGCGGAGGTTGCGGTGAGCCACAATCACGCCATTGCACTCCAGCCTCGGCAACAAGAGCAAAACTTAGTCTCAAAACAAACAAACAAACAAAAAAAAACTGCTGAAAGAAATTAAGTATCTAAATAAATGGAAAGAAATCTCATTCATGGATTGGAAGACTCAATATCATTAAGATCTCAATACTCCCCAAAGTAATCTACAGGTTCAATGCAATCTTTATCAAAATCCCAATGGCATTTTTTCCAAAAATAGAAACACCCATCCTAAAATTCATAGGGAATTTCAAGGGACTCTGAATAGTCAAAACAATCTTGAAAAACATGAACAAAGCCAGATTTTGAAATCATACTCCCTGATTTCAAAATTTACTACAAAGCCAAAGTAATCAAAACAGAGTAGTTCTAGGTTAGAATAGACATCTAGACCAACAGGATGTAACAATGAAACTTATATGGTCAACTGACTTTGGACAAAAGTGCCAAGATCATTCACTAGGGAAAGGACAGTCTGGAAAAATTAGATATCTATATGCAAAAGAACGAAGTCAAACCCTTACCTTACATCATATAGAAAAATCAACTCAGAAGTGGATCAAAGACAAACTTAGGAGCTAAAGCTATAAAACTCCTAGAAGAAAACATATGGGAATATCTTCGTGATGCTGCATTAGGCAATGTTTTAAGTATGACATCAAAAACAAGGACAACAAAAGAAAAAGAAAAACTGGACTTCATCAAATTTAAAAACTTTTGTACATCCAATAACATTATCAAGAAAGTAAAAAGGTTGGGTGTGGCTGCTCACACCTGTAATTCCAGCACTTTGAGAGGCCGAGGCGCATGGATCACCTGAGGTCAGGAGTTCGAGACCAGCCTGGCCAACATGGTGAAACCCCATCTCTACTAAAAACACAAAAATTAGCTGGGAGTGGTGGCGAGCGCCTGTAATTCCAGCTACTTGGGAGGCAGATGCAGGAGAATCACCTGAACCCAGGAGGTGGAGGCCGCAGTGAGCTGAGATTGCTCCATTGTACTCTAGCCTGGGCAACAAGAGCGACACTCTCAAAAAAAAAAAAAAAAAAAAAGAAAAGAAAAGAAAACAAAAGAAAAGAAAAGAAAGTAAAAAGACAACATATAGAATGGGATAAAATATTTTAAAATTACATATACAGTAAGGGTCTAGTATGCAGAATATACAAAGAACTCTTTATTTTTTTTTTAGACAGAGTTTCGCTCTTGTTGCCCAGGCTGGAGTGCAATGGCACAAATCCCAGCTCGCTGCAACCTCCGCCTCCTGGGTTCTAGCAATTTTTCTGCCCGCCTCCAGAGTAGCTGGAATTACAGGCACCTGCACCACGCCCGGCTAATTTTTTTTTTTTTTTTTTTGAGACAGAGTTTCATTCTGTTGCCCAGGCTGGAGTGCAGTGGCATGATATTGGCTCACCGCAACCTCCATCTCCCAGGTTCAAGCAATTCTCCTGTCTCAGCCTCCTGAGTAGCTGGGATTACAGGGGCATGCCACCACGACTGGCTAATTTTTGTACTTTTAGTAGAGACGGGGTTTCACCATGTTGGTCAGGCTGGTCTGGAACTCCTGACCTCAGGTGATCCACCCACCTCAGCCTCCCAAAGTACTGGGATTTCAAGTGTGAGCCACGGCACCTGGCCAAGAACTCTTTATGACTCAACAGGATAAACAACCCAATTTCAAAATGGACAAAATATCTCAATAGATCTTTTTCAAAGAAAATATACAGATGGCCAAAAACCAAATAAGAAGATGTTCAGTATCACTAATTATTAGGGAAATACAAATCAAAACCACATTGAAATACCACTTCACACCCACTAGCATGGCTATTATTTAAAAAAGCTAGAAAATACACGTTCACAAGTACATGGAGAAATTGGAACCTTCATGCATTACTGATGGGAATGTAATATGGTATCATCGCTATGAAAAACAAGTTTCTCAGAATTAACCATACAATCCATCAATTCGTCTCCTAGGTGCAGATACAAAAGAACTGAAAAAGGACTTAAAAAGATACCTGTATACCAATTTTCATAGCAGCATTATTCACAATAGCCAAAAGATAGAAACAACCCAAATGTCCATCAACAGATAAATAGAACAAAATGTGGTATATCCATACAATAGATATTATTCAGCCATAAAAAAGAATGAAGTTCTAATACATGCTACAATATGAATGAACCTATAAAATATTATGCTATGTAAAATATGCCATAGACTGGGTACCGTGGCTCACGCCTGTAATCCCAGCACTTTGGGAGGCCGAAGTGGGCAGACTGCTTGAGGTCAAGGGTTCGAGACCAGTCTGGCCAACATGATGAAACCCTGTCTCTACTAAAAATACAAAAATTAGCCAGGCATGGTGGCAGGTGCCTATAATCCCAGCTGCTTAGAAGTCTGAGGCAGGAGAATCGCCAGGAGGTGGAGACTGCAGTGAGCCGAGATGGCGCCACTACACTCCAGCCTGGACGACACAGTGAGCCTCTGTTTCAAAAAAAAAAAAGCCATACAGTAAAGGACAAAAAAAGCATTCCACTTACATGAGATATCTAGAATAGGCAAATTCATCGAGAAAGAAGGTAGAATAGAGGTTAGGAGGGGCTGCAGGAGGAAAAACTGGTGAGTTATTGATTAATAGGTATAGAACTTCTGTTTGCGATGATGAAAAAGTTCTGGAAATAGTGGTGATGATTATACAGCATTGTGAATGTACTTACTGCCACTTAATTGAACACTTTAAAATGATCAAAATGGTAAAGTTTATGTTATGTAAATTTTACCACAATAAAAGTAAAATAAGTGGGAGAGACAATAGGTGCTCATATGCATGATCAAGTGCCAGCACACTGATTCTGAACCCATCGTGTCTACTAGCTCCCAATTCCTCAAGAGTCATCATCTTGAATTTTCCCAGAGTTTTACACAAGAGATAATAGATAAGGATTAAGAATGTGGTTAAACCAAAATCAGGAGCAGAACAAAAAGACCAGAAATAGGGTAGTGAAAAGGCATAAATTTAGCCTAATACCAACAGCAAGATAAAACCAAACAAGAATAAAGGCAGAGATCTGAAAAAGTCAAATATGTAGTCACTTGAGTTCTAAGGGTCCTCTTCTCTCACTAGTTCCCAGACTCAAAAGAGTTACTCTAGTTTGTTTTCAACTAAGCATATCCAGTATAAAGCTACCATACTGTCATTACTAACCCTCAGCCAATGTCAGTTTACTGTTTTAAGAGAAAAGGGTGAAAACGATGAGACTCTTAATTACCATCTCATAAACGAATGTTTCTTGTCTGCAGGCTCGATCTATTGTAATGGTTTCTTCCCGATGTTCCAAGAACCTTTTTCTAACCCTGTTGTAGATGTAAAAGGAAAAAAAAAAATCAAAGTTCAACATTTGTTATTCAGACTTCAAAACATTCAGTATATTTTATTTTGAACTAATTTTAAGTAGCAAAAGCAGGAAAAAGTTCCCTTCTCTTGTTCAGCTTCCCTTATGTCAACATCTTATATGATCATGAGACAATTATCAAGAACAGGAAATAAATTATTATATAATATTATTAGCTATAGGCCTTTTTAAAATTTCACATGATTTTTAATTTACTCGTTTTTTTTTTTTTTCTGTTCCAGATTCCTATTCAGGATCCCACATGGCATGTTATTTGTCCTTAGTCTCCTTGAGTTTGTTAAAGTTCTTCAGTCTCTACTTATGTTTCATGATCTTGACAATTTCAAACAGCTCTAATCAGTTATTTTATACAATGTCCTTCAATTTGTGTTTGACTGCTAGTTCCTCATGATAGGAATAAATTTAGCATTTTGGTAAGAACACTACAATGATATCCTTCTCAGTATATCATATCAAGAGGTTCATGATATTAATATGACATTTTACTAGTGATGTTTAGCTTATTTCTGTCTGCCAGGTTCCTGCACCAGAATGATACCTTATTTTCTATGAACTTGGTAAATATTTTGGGGAAGATACTTTGACACTATGCAAATCTTGTTTCTCCTCAAACTTCACCCAGGAATTTTAGCATTCATTGATAGATTTTCTCTGCAACATTTATTACTGTGGTGTATGCCTAATAGCAATTCTGTCTTTCCTTTCTTCTACATTTATTCATTGGAATTATATTTTGAGGAAGACCTGCCTCTTTCCTCCCATCTGTTTACTTCATCATTTCTATTAGTATGAACCTATAGATAATTGTTTTATTCTGGGGTTAAAATCTAATATTACCATTATTTTGTTGTTCAAATTGGTAGTTTTAGTCATTAGGAGCTCCTGTTCTTTCAGCAAGTCCTCTCCTTTTTAAAATTATTTTTTATTTTTTGAACATTCCCTTACTTTCTGGCACCACAAGATGCTCAAGGCCCATCCTGTATTTTTCTTGTCTCATCCCAGGAATTGACCACTTGTAAGAGCCCTAGTTCCTTTACTGGAAAAAGGTGTTTAGAGACCAGTATCTGGGTTCTAGGCATTCTCATTGTCACTGGAGTCACTGCTTCTAGGCTTCTCAGCTGAGATAGGCAGGAAATATATGTATGTATACTAACCTATACATGTATAAATATCTGTATTTCTGTATTTTACTGTTACATATTTAAAACTATGAGTTTTATACTGATACTTCTGATCCCAAACTAAAACCACAGGATTCATTTTAGCCTTTAACATTTCCTTGTTTATAACTTCTTTCTCCACAAGTGAGAAATCCAGCATTCACTGTCAGCAACCTATTATTTGTTCAATTCTAGTAAATACATAAAATGGTTACAGAATTGCTAACCTATACCCCTGTGAGAAACACTAACTTATAAAAAGTTCTGTCTTCACCCTTACATTATATCAAGATATGCTTTTGGTAGCATTTTATTATTTAAAAATCGGAACAATATAGTTAAGATTAGCACAGCCCCTATGCACGGATGATATGCAAATTCATGAAGTGCTCAAAAAAAAAAAAAAAAGATAGGCTTTAATAAAGACTTTAGTTCTTTCTTCCCCACCCTCTTCAGTGGTGTTATATTACACATTTGTAATGCAACTAGGCTTATTTTTTAGTTTTTGAATTCAGTTTTGGGTTCCCCCTACATCCTGGTTGGTTTTAATTGTCTCATTACATCTAGGGTATGTGAAAAATATGTGACACATCACTATGATCCTAAGAGTCAAAAGTGTCACTCCCTCTTTGTCCCTACTAACCTGATCCCATTCCCTCCCCTTCTTTCCACCCCTTTCGCACCCACCCCTGCAGGCAATGAGTCTCTACAGTTTTGCTTTATCCTTTCCATTTCTTTTGTTCAAATAAACAGATATTTGTGTATACTCTTTTATCTCCTTCTGTATCAATCTGAGTTCAATTAGGAAGAAATAAAAAAATGAATAGCAATTTGAACAAAGGTTAAGGATTCAACAACTTTAACAGAGGATTGGAATAATGAGGGACTGGCAAGGAAGCAGTAAAAGGGAACACCAAAGAACAGAATAATCGCAAATACAAGGAGCACCCTACCCCTAGGGCTGAGAAAAAGCTCAAGGAAGTCCTTTTTTCTTCCCAGGACTGAGATCCAGAGGAGCAAGAGAAAGAAGTTGCTATAGTGCTGCATCAGTGGAACTTGCTGGAAATCTACCCTTAAGGGCACCAAGAAAAACTGTTCAGGGGAGCTGTGGAGGGAAATGGGGTTGGCAGGGAAAGCTGCTGGGCGTGGAGTGCTTCAGACTGCAGTGTATTGCAGGAGCTGGGCACTGGGGAAGCTGTGTGCACTGCAGAATCCTGCTGGGCCAGCACATCAGATCAGGAAGCAAAACCCTTGAGAGTCCTGAAAGGTCTCTCCATCGCCCTTCACTGACAAAGCTTAACGATGTGCTAGTTGGCAAAAGAAAAGTATTTAAAAGGCCAAGGTCCACTTTTACAGAGCAGGAAAAAGAAGTAAATTTGAAGATGAGAGCCAATAAACTACACCTGGCACACCTTTCTTACATGAAAGGTGGCATATACTTTGGGATTTTGCTTTTTTCACTTAATAGAATGTACTAGAAATTACTCTGAGTTAATCCTTTCTCATCCTTTATTATGGCTGCAAAATATTACAGTGTGGATTTCCCATAGCATATTCAACAATCTCCTCTCCTATGTCTGTATATTTAAGGTATTTCAAATATTTTGCAATCATGAACAATACTTCAAGGAATAACCTTGAACACACATGTTTTCATATTGTTGGAGGGGTATCTTTGGTATAAATTACTAGAAGTGGGATTGCTGGGACAAAAAGTACACATATATGTAATATTGTGTTAAGTATTACAAAATTTACCCTACAGAAAAGTTCTAACAATCTGCCTTCTCTTCAGAAATGTAAAAACAAAAAACCATCTGTTTCCCACAGCCTTGTCAAAAAATGTATTATATATTAAAATTTATGCCAGTCTCATAGGAAGAAAAGGTATCTCAATGTAGGTTTAATTTTCACTTCTCTAATTTTGAGTGTGTTTGAGCATTTTTTCATGTTTGTGAGTAACTTTCATGTTTTTTGTGTGAATTACTGGTTCATGTCTTTTTCCCATTGGGTTTTTGGTCATTGTTCCTCAACTTTTAAGAGTTCTTACATATTGGGGATATTACCCCCTTTGTGGTATATGTCATAAATATTTTTCTCCAAGTTTGGCAGCTGTCTTTTGACTTTATGTTGTGAAAACATTTTAATTTTTAGTTAGTTTTATCCATCTTTTTATTTCCTCTGGATTTGAGTAACAGAAATCCTTTCACTACGCACCATAGTATGCATGTTTCATTCTCTACACTTTGTTTTTTGTTGTTGTTGTTGTTGTTTTTGAGATGGAGTCTCGCTCTGTCGCCCAGGCTGGAGTACAGTGGTGCCATCTGGGCTCACTGCATCTCCACCTGCCAGGTTCACACCATTCTCCTGCCTCAGCATCCCAAGTAGCTGGGACTACAGGTGTGTGCTACCACACCCAGCTAATTTTTTGTATTTTCAGTAGAGACGAGGTTTCACTGTATTAGGAAGGATGGTCTCGATCTCTGCCTACCTCGGCCTCCCAAAGTGCTGGGATTACAGGCCTGAGTCACCATGCCCAGCCATTCTCTACACTTTGATCCCTATCTATTATTCTTGTGTATAGTGTCATACTACATTTGTATATGTATTTGACTCTAATTCTGGACTTTTTATTCTGTTCCACTGGTCTATTTATGAGCTACTACCCACCATTTTAATTATAAAGGCTTTGTGGCATATCTTAATATCTGGTAAAATTACTACTTCCTCATATATTTTTTTTTTTTGGAGACAGAGTCGTGCTGTGTCCCCCAGCCTGGAGTGCAATGGTGTGACCTTGGCCCACCGCAACCTCCACCTCCCAGGTTCAAACGATTTTCTTGCCTCAGCCTCCTCCTCCTGAGTAGCTGGGATTACAAGTGCCCACCACCATGCCCAGCTAATTTTTGTATTTTTAGTAGACACGGAGTTTCACCATGTTGGCCAGGCTGGTCTCAAACTCCTGACCTCAGGTGATCCACTCATTTCGGCCTCCCAAAGTACTGGGATGACAGGCGTAAGCCATCGCCCCACCACCGAGTGGTGGGTTTTCTTTTTCCCTCCAGAGTCTTCCTATTCTTGCATGTGTTTTCTGCACGAACGCTATTATCAACTTGTTTAACTTCATAACAGATACTTATGGTATTTTTATTGGGATTACACCATATTTATAATTTAATTTAGGAAGAACTGACATCATTGTAATGTTTAGTCTTCCTATCCAAAACAGAGAATATCTTTCAAATTGTTCAGGTTTTCTTCAGTCTTTCATAACTGTTTTGGAATTTTCCTCACATAAGTCTTATACATTTATTGTTAAATTTATTTCTAAGTATTTAACCTTCTTTTGGGGTATCATAAAAGGAATTTTCTCCACCATCTCTAATTGTTTATTGTCATATATATGAAGGCTATTAAGTTCTATATATCAATTTTGGATCCTATTTCACTAAATTATTCTTCTGTTTGAGTTAGTTTTCACATTGACTAATTTTCCATGCATACTAATCACATAACCGGTAAACAGAGAAGTTTTTATTCTTTACCTACCCCTATACCTCTAATTAATTTATCTTGCCAAATTGCATGGCTATACCTATAGACTATGTTGCAAAATGCTTGCTTTTTTCTGGATCTTAGAAAATGCATGTATTGCTCCCTTACTAAATAAGGTGCTAGCTTTACAACTAAGATATATATATATATTTTATCATGTTGGAACAGTATTCCTCCAACTTCTATTTCCTTAGTATTTTTATCATGAATGTGTGCTGAATTTGTT